GAGGTAACATGGCGGGATTCTTTATATAACTCTGGCAACGTAAGCGCCTCGAAACTGGAGCTTACCTTAGATATCAGATGCGGAAGCTGATTCAGCACGAGCCGTGAGGACATGTACGGTACGGATGCTTTGTCTTCCGGACAAGCCCTTGCATCTAGATTACATTCGCATGAATGATATTTCATTGCTTCAAGATATAGTTAGATATGCTTGCTGAGCTGAAATGTCTAATACTAGAGTCCCATGTCCCGTAAAAAAAAAAAAAAAAAAAAAAAAAAAAAAGAGTCAGATCCTCGTGCCGTTATATATTAACATGAGTCTTTCTTCCCATTGCCCCAAAACTCCCGATTCAATGCCGCGCCATGTCATGTCTCCTGAACCAATATCGATATTCTATCTCCTGAAATTGAGCATATCAAATAAAAATTTAGGACAAGTCAGATGTTCCCATCGACAACTGCTGCTACCATCCCAGCAAGCATACTGAGGCCAAGAATAAGCCTCAGGCGCTGCGGCGTATAAAAACATGTACTAAGCCAACCAACGCAGCGGAAACCTGACAACGAGAGATAACCAAAACTAGGCGAAAGGTGACCATTCCATCGCCATGAACAAGACGAGGAACCCTACCGCCCAAATCCCATCGCCCCTTGAGCGCAGGACGCTCCAGGCACCGCTCGACTGGACCTGGCCGCAGCAGGGGCCCTTGTAGGTGACGTTGTTGATGCGCGCGGCGGCCTCGAAGACGGAGCCCGGGGGCGAGCCGTAGTTGTAGTAGTCGACGTTGAGGATGTTGGGCGCGCGGCCCCAGTCGGCGCGGCAGTTGTTGGCGGCCAGGCCGACGCTACCGTAGCCCTCGGCGGCATTGGTCTCGTTGAGCAGCGACACGGCGGGCACCAGCAGCTCGAGGTTGAAGACGTTGAACTCGGCGTTGAGATTGTGGTTCATGAGGTAGAGGCGGTCGCGGGCGGCGTCGTCGCTCAGGTCGGGCGGGCGCTGGACGGCGCAGGGAAAGGCGCGGTCGGTGGGGTCGAACTGTGTCTCCCACATCTGCGAGAACTCGTCCATGAGCCAGGGAAAGGCCGTCTGGTTGGCCTTGTAGTCGAGGAACATGACGACGCGGTTGCCGTGCAGGATCATGTTCTCGAGCGTGGGCCAGTCCTCGAGGGCCATGGGGAAGACGGTGGGCACGAAGGTGTACTTGAGGATGCCCGTCTGCTCGATGAAGGGCACGTACAGGCTCGGGTCCGAGTAGTTGCCGTTGCCCAGCAGGATCGTCACCACGTCGTACGGGTGCGCGTCCACCCACTCGTACACCTCGCCCAGCCAGTCGGTGATGGGGCCGGCGTCGAGCAGGTCGCAGGTCGTGTGGCAGAAGTGCGGCACCGTGCCGTTGGGCGGCCACTGGATCTGCGCCTGCAGGAAGCGCACGCCGTCGTCGAGCTGCGTCTTGACCGGCAGCTCCTGGTTGGAGCCCGAGTTGCCCGGCCGCACAAAGGGCGAGTTGTGGCAGCCCACCTGCGTGATGTTGCCAAACTTGCGCGAGCACAGCTCCACGTAGTTGTTGCACGGCTGCGTGTTGGTCGGCTGCGGCGTCGAGTCCGTCGCCGTCGCCGTTAGGTTGCTGCCGACGGTGAGGGTGCCGGTCGTGAGGGTGCCGCTGGCGGAGCCGGTGCTGGTCCCGGAGCTGGTGCCGGTGTGCGTCTTGGAGGTGGCCGCGCCGGTGAGGGTGATTTTGGATTTGTATGTCGTGTAGACGCCCGTGGGCACCGGGTCGCCGCCCACGCGCTGCGTCTTGGTGCCCTGGTAGAAGGTGAGGCCCGTCGTGTCCGAGTACGAGACCTTTTGCGCTCCGGCGGCCTGCACCAGCAGCGCCAGTGCGCCGACGGCCGCGTAGGGGACTCTCATGATGTCCCGGCCGGTCGATGTTGGTGTTGAGCCCGATCCAGCCTTCTGCGCTCGCAGCTCAGCCCAAAGCTTGTCCCAGTAATCAAAGATTCCAAACTCCGATTAACCAATTCAACCAGGTTCAAGTCCGACAAACGGAGGCGGTGCAGCTGGAATACCGTAGAACCAACCCGCAGCAAAGACCGGAATCCCGTGCCGAGTGGCGTTTCCGTCAACGGGGACAGATGATCGCTCTCAATTCGTGAATGGAAAACCCGGATCGGCAGACAGCTGAAGGCTCATCCACTTTTGGAGCTCGTCGTCGTCGTCATCAGTCGGAGGCGGTGGGCAGAGGTGCACCAGACAGACGTCGAGATGGCCCTCCGTTTCGAAGTCGTCACCCACAACCACTAGGGCGTCCTGATTCAGTTTTGGAAGACTGCCTGTTTGATCTTGATGTTGAGGAGAATTCCAAGCCGGACGAGCAGGTAAAGGGGGAAGGGTCAAGCGGGGAAGGAAAGGAGAAGAAAGGCAAAACCCCCCAAACTGGTGCTGTAGATGATGGGCAGTGAGGCCGAATTATATGCTCGCTTCTTGCATCTATGTATGTACAGTGTGATCGTGCCCTGCTTCGATCTCCGCGAGTGTCTGCCGAGCTTCTATATCGTTCTGTGGAAGGAACCAAAAGAAGGCAACAAGACAAAAATGGATAAAGAAAAAAAGATAAAAAGGGATCACGGAGCTTGGCAAAGCTGGAAAAGCTGTTACCTGCGATCTGCGCATCTTATGGACCCCGGCGAACAGCATCGAGCGAAGCTACCTGAGCACATGCTGGGTCCTTCAGGCGGCGCATATCTCCCATCTCCGCACAAGGGTCCCGCGCCCACGGCGGTCCAATCGAGCCCTTGAGCCTCTTTTGACGCGAAGCGCTGGTGCGGGAAGAAGCGCTGCTTGTTGGCCTGGCGAGCCGGCTGGATTCCACTCCCGCCGTACCAGCGCCAGAGTCCTTCGTGTACCAATGGCGGGCGCTTCCTGTAACCGTAGAGCCAACGGCTTCCATGCTTGCTGCCTCTGTTCGTGGGTACCCGAATTCGAACCTGAACGGGGGACACGACTCGGCACTGCCATTGAGGTGCCCTTCTTCCCTTGGCCACCCCCCGGCAGACCCTGGTTCGCTTCGCAGCATGAGGCATGTCTCACAGCCCCCCTCCCCCTCCGCCTCCGTCCCGCCCCAGCAATCTTGTTAATGGGAAAGCCAAGTGTTATGACTGCCTCTCTCTCTCTCTCATTTTCCTTCTTCTTCTTCTCCCAGGGGCCAAGGATGGCGAAGCGAAGGAGAAACGAGACAGACGGGCGCTTCGGATTGGCTGGTCTGGAGGTCCTGTATCTCGCGATGACAAGGCGGGCGTGAATAATGCTTCTTCTTTCTCCCAATCTCTCTCACTCCATGAGCATCACCGGCTCTAATTGCCGATCCGCATTTTGCCTCTTTGCTGTGGCTCCGCCTCCCCAGCCAAAGACTGCGCAACACGACAGGAACCGGCCAGTGCAGTTCCAGTGAATGTGTGCAGCCAATGTCTTGTTTTTTCCTCCTCTCTCTCTCTCTCTCTCTCTCATATCTTGCGCAAGCTAAGACGGTGGCCGTGGGTCAGGCGTCCCATCGTTTTGTGGGCATGGAGTCGCCCTATGATCTCATCACATGCTGGACAATGTCCCTCTTGTCGGTCAACGAGATGAAATCCATCCACGAGATGGAATCAGGGCATGAAAAACCAAATGCAGCGCTGTGCTGAGCATGACCAGGCAGAAGGAGAGTGGCCTGTCCGGTGCTGCGGGAGTACGATAATGTGGGATGGAATCATTCGGACTGTTCGAGGTGACTTTGGGTCCGATCATGAGGCGGAGCTGGAAACGAGAAAACCGGCGGGGACAGACACCCTGATTCGGCACTCCTGCTCCGATCTGCCGGTACTAGCTGGCAGCCTGGGAGGCATGTACGTATGCAGTAATATCTGTGCAGCAGTGCCTGAACTTGGTATGAGATCCGGGTACGGGTACGAATGCCGTGCTGCCATTGAGCGTCACTGGTGATGCTTTTACCAGTAGACAAGGTAGCCGTGGGACAGGTGATGGTGTTCTGCCCTGTCCTGTATACTCACTCGTCCAGCGTCGTGCCTGTTCAACACGTTCTTCGTCAACATGTGCCCGTCCGCTTCCTCGCATCGCCAACTTACTCACTCACTCACTCACTCTCCCATTCTCTCCAGGACGGACCCAAAGGGGGCTCCAGGGCCACCTGCCACCCCTGTCTCCCTCTTCCTCATGTCAGTCAATCTCTCGGCCAGTCGACGGCAGCTAGCCGCTAGGAAGCTGCAGCGCCTCGTGGTGGATCTGCTGAGCTGGGAGGGGCCCCCCCCTGGCCTGGCATGAGGGAATGCCAGCGGATCCGATGAGCGGCTAGGGGGGTTTACTGTTGTTTCAACGAAAGCTTGAGCTGTTGTTTGTTCTTTTGCGCATGAATGACTGGCGACGGTTTGCCGTCTCTTCTGCTGTTCTGCGTTCTCGGTTCTGGGTGCCCCCTTGTAAGCGGTACTTGTAGCTCCCCTCGTAATCAGGCGTGGCGCCTTGTAGTAACATGGATATGGATTCCGCAAGCTATTCCCGACTCTTGGCTGTCTGTCTGTAGCGTACTCGTGTAAGTGTACTCGTATGTATGTGCTGGTTGTAGTAGTAATACCTTGTGAGGTCGAGACGCCATGCATGGAACTTGGTGGTGGTTGACGGCATTGAAATGTCTTTGGGCCCCATTTTCTATTCCTGGCCATCTGATCTGCCTTTCTCTTTTTTTCGTTTCTTTTTTTTTCCCTTTCCCTGTGTGTCTTCTTTCGTTTATTGAGTTTCTTTATTTCATTTCTTTCCTTTCGTTTTCTTTAGTTTGTCGATCTGTTTTGTTTCCATCTTTTCTCCCAGTCCTCCCACCCCCTTGCCTCCACAGCAATCAAGAGGCAGAGCCTTTTTGTTTTCAACCACTCTCCTCCTCCTCCTCCTCCATACCATTCGCCCTTTCTCTCTTCTTTCCCTTCTCAATGGCCAGAACCATGGTGTCCCAAGCCATGGCCGCGCGGCAGTGGACCGCCATCATCGCCGGCCTCTGCTACTTCATCACCATCCCCTTCCTCATCCTCGTCCTCATCGGCAACACCCACATCAACGGCTTCCTCGACGACATCTTCTTCTTCAAGCTCGACGTCTCCCACATCATCCCCATCTCCGTCGAGAACTCGAACCTGCTCAACTCCGTCGCCCGGAGCCTCGGCCTGCACGACTTTTACCAGGTCGGCGTGTGGAGCTACTGCGAGGGCTACAACGATGAGTATGTTCACCATCACCACCTTGACTTACCTCTCTTAAACAGGTTGCAAATGAGGAAATGAAACTCACATCCATGTTCAAACAGAGGCGTCACGTTCTGCTCCCCGCCGAAATCCTTCTTCTGGTTCGACCCCGTCGAGGTCCTCGTCGGCGAGCTCCTGGCCGGCGCCCGCATCGCCCTGCCCTCCGAGGTCGTCACCATCCTGACCCTGCTGCGCATCGGCTCCCAGGTCATGTACGCCTTCTTCATGTCCGGCATCGTCCTCAACTGCGTCCTCCTGCTCCTGACCCCGCTGGTCCTCAAGACGCGCTGGTTCAGCCTGTGCACGGCCCTCATCGGCTTCGTCGCCGGCCTCGTCCTCACCGTCGCCGCCGTCATCGCCACCGTCATCAGCGTCGCCGCCAAGATCGCCCTCACGGCGCAGGACCAGCTCAACATCCACTGCGACATTGGCGGCAAGATGTTTGTCTTTATGTGGATCGCCGCGCTGGCGACGGACTTTGCGTTCATCTTGCATGCCGCCATGGGGTGCTGCTGTGCGCCGGACAAGAGGAACGGGTCGAGGGCGGCGTCGCCGTCGTCGGGGATGCAGGAGAAGGGCGTGCCTTCGCCTTTGCCTAGCTTCCTCCGACGCAGGAATCGCTTGTCTTCATGAAGGAACGCAGTCACAATTTTCAGGACGAAAAGCTGCGACTTAGAGCGGTGGTTGTTTTTGCTTTGAATATTTGCTTTTTACCAAAGATTGGGTCAGGACGAGGGAATCAAGGGTTGAATCACTTCATGGATTTATGGTTGCAATTTTGGCAGAACGCAACTGGGTTTGACATTCTGAATGGGCTTATGGGCACTTTTTCTTTTATCATAGATCTACTCTATGCCGTGGATTAGCAATGGAGGCTACCCAAGGTAGACACAGGCCGCAGAGGAGCGGAACGACTTCGAGGGATAGAGGTAACCCGGACTTACCAGACATATACAGATCGCTCAGACGTTTTATATTAGAGCTGGTCAGACGAATCAAACTGGAGCAACGGAGCGGGAAGCGACTGCTGCCGTTCAGATTTGCATCTTTCAGAGGACGAATATAATATCGTGTCATGTACGTTATCTGAAAGATAAAGTGCCTTGAGCTCTCTATTCATGCTGTGGTTGGTTCCCTGATTACTATGTGGTTTCTGACTTCGGTCATCACCTTGTGTTCCTTGATAAACTGCTGCACATGTCCGCATTCCCTTCTCATAGATACTGTTAATCACTGGCTAAAGGTTAAGAGAAGGAAAGGGCGGAACACAAGGTATCCTAGACACTGCCCAGCACACCCGTCATCAGATCCTCGTCTTCTACATTCATGTCGAAGCCGACTCCGGCATCTGCCGTGTCCTTTTCCATCCGCTTCTGCTCTCGAAGCACGTGTCGCGCGTACTCCTTTGTCGTGCCAAGCCGCTCGTTTGTCGCCCGGTATTGTTTCGTCAATGCCTCGATGCTGGCATGGCAGCGGGCCACCTCAGCCGCAAATTCGCCTTCCGTCATCGATGTGTACTCTTCGTGGAACGTCAGATAGCTTTCGCCGGCCGTAGACCCGATCTGGAGCTGGCCCTTGAGCATTTCAGACTCGATCATTTCGCTGATGAGCATGAGGACTTCCCCATCGTCCTTGAGCGTCTCGGCCGTGGTGGCGCTCAGAGTCGTCTGCCGAATCTGAGCAATGGAGACTTGGTGGTATATCCGGCGGAGGTTGATAATCTGCCACTTCTGATACGACACCAATACCTCCTCAAGCAGGCTCAGGTTCTGGTCCTCTTCCCAAACGGCTCGCCGTTTCTCAAATTCTTCCTTGAGTGCTGCCGCACCATCCGTAGGGAATAATGACGCGATACTGTTGTAGGCCTCGCTGAGCCCAAAGTAGATTGACTTTGTCGAACTGGTAATGTAAGACGGGAGAGTTGGAGGCTTTCCGTCTCTCAGCACTCCTACCAATAGCCACTTCTTGTAGCACTCGGCCATGATCTTGCTCACTCCCTTGTCCTTGGTCGGATGCCCAATGACTCTCTCTAGCGCCAATTGTGCCTTGGACCAGTCTCTCCTTGAAATGTACGCCATGGCTTGTAGAAAGTGGTATTCGAGAACGGAAGTGCTCTTGACGGTGTCTGTCAGGCCGGCGGCGGGTATGTAGTTCTGAGGCTGAAGTGCCGGATCGTTGAGCTCGAGGCGCGTAGAGGCTGTAGGCCGCGCATAGTAAAGAATATCGGCATCGAAGACCTTGAGAGCGGGCTCGATGCAATTAGCATCATAGGCTAATTTAGCCATGTTTAGGTGTGTTGATGTGAAGACGGTTCCGCTCGGGTCGATTCGAAGGATTGCATTGGAAAGCAGTTCCACTGCAACTTTGGGCTGTTCTATGTTAGCAGCTGCTGGAAAAGCAGACGTCTTTGAGTGGCACAAGCTCTCGTACCGTATAATAGCTGTTGGCATCATCCAGCAGGGATTTGAACAGCGGTCCGACATATCTGATCTGCACAGGATCAACCTGTAGAAGAAACCGCAGAGCCTCGTCTAGTATCAACGCGCGCGGAGTAGACGGTGGAGTCTGACCGCGGAGGAGGGTATCGATGATGGCAAGGCCGCCGATGGTGTTGTTGGCGGGGTCTACCAGCTGAACATCTTGTCAGTATGGCAAGTCGAAAGATGCGTGCATAGGTGCTGCATACCTGAATGGCTTCCATCGGCTGCTGCAGGATGGCGGCTCGTGCCGCCGGCGGCAGGTTTGTTGTTACTGATGCCGCATAGCTTTTGGCGGCCGTATCGAAAGCCTTGGCTGACGGATAGGCCCTGACGTCTGGGTTGAAAGTCTGGAAAATGCCCTTGAGCGTGTCCATGGCGGGTGAGCTTCGCTGGCTGTTGGGGCTGAGCCGCGAAGGAGGAGAGTCGTGGGAGAGAGGCAGCTCGAATGGCCGCTGCGGAGGATGGTCTAGATGCTGACTGTCCCTCGTTTGCTGATGGTCATGCTCGGTGAAAGCGAGAAAGGTTGACGGATGGATGTCAGCTTTTGCTGTGGCTACTTCAATGTGCCTGCGTATTTGCAACAGAATCCGAAGCTCTGATCTGGGCAGCTCTGAAGATGCAAACGAGAGGTGGGAGGCACCAAGAGGTATGTCACGGAGCTGCGATGGTGGGGGAAGCTGCAAGTTGGCGGCGTTTAGCCGCGATTAGATAAGGGAGCTGGTGATGTACTCGTACCCGCCAGATGAAGACTCGGGAGAGGGACATCAACGTCAAGTTTACATGCAGGCGAGGTGACGAACATGGAACAAGACAACAATCCCAGCAACTGCTAGTCATTGCTTCATGGATGCAGATGTCAAATGCGTGGCAATGTCTCGTCCGGAAGCGGGAGAGTCGAAAACGACTTGGGCTTCCGACCCTGAAGTCATCATCGTAACGTGCACTCCATCATGTGTTGCGTCCGTCGACATGGAGTGAGAGATGCTTCACAGGTTACCGCTGATAGAACATGGTTAGGTAGATCCAGTAACAAGCCATGGAGCTGTCAATGTCTCATCTACCTGTCTACTGATTTCTCACTGCTCCAGGCTGGGAATCTCCTCAACCAGCTTCGTCCCGTTGACCGTCGGCAGTTCGGCATCCATCAAGACGAAGAACCCCCTCGCAGGTTCCGTCGTGCTGTTGTTCTTCCAGGCATGGATCGTCCCCCGTTGCACAATGATGTCCCCTCTCTTCAGCACCGTCGTCTCGCCGCTGCCCAGAATCAGCTGCACCTCGCCTTCCATCATGACGCCAAAGTCCACCGTTGCCGTCCTGTGCATTGGGGCCTCCACCCCAGGCAGGAAATCCACAATTCGCAGCACGGTGCCGCCGTGGATGCTGAGGTCGACGTTGTGCGGGAGGCGGTCTTGATATGCTTTCAGGTCTTGGTCGTTCTCGAGGATGGCGGGAGACTCCTCCAGAGAGTAGCCGAGACAGAGGTGCAGGCCGGGAGGGCTGATATACGGAGGAATCTGCGAGAGTGTCTTGTTGATGATGGGCTTGCCATCTGTGTCGTGCTCGGTGATGACTCGCCGTAGAGCCGGTAGGCCGTTGGAGGCCGGGGTGGAAGCCGCTTCAGTTGCAGGACTCATGGCAGAGGGAGCAATGAATAGTGATCTTTGGATCTGGATATGAACGCTGGGTTATCTCTGCCAGAGCCGAGCGACATACCGGGCAATGGTTCTCTATATACTACTCCGCATCTGCCTTGATATGTCTCCTGAACCGTATGGCGGAGTTTTCCTTCAACGGCGATTTGATAGTAATCAATATTTCCTGCTCTGTATCAGCTTACACTGGGGCAGTTTCGACAAACAAACTGTATTCTATGGCTTTTTAATGTCGTCACATCAACTGTAAGTCAGCCCAGTCACCGTCCATCACATCAGTCATCCCTTTAAACTCCTGTTGGCTGTTCGAAGATGTCCTACATGCGATTCGGCAGAGTTTGTGGCGTCTAACCGGGTGGCTCTACACAGCTCAGAATACACCGAAAGGGTTGCCCGAATAAGCTTGTTCGGACATAATACTCTATTCTCAGTGGTCATCTCCGACTTCAAAGCTCTATCCTCGTACGATAATTCCTCATGGCGTTCTTCTATCTGATTTGCTCCCAAGATTGTCCTATAATATCTCCCGCGTCTAATCGCCGTGAAGCCATCTAGCTCTAGTAACTCATATATCAATGACCCAGTATTCCCTCTCTACCTATGCTGTGATAAGTCTTCTTCCTCATTGATCTCGCTTTGAAATCCCGGGGCACAGTGTTTCACTGCGGCCTCGCGACCTCATACACTTTGCTTCCATTCCCCTTGCCCCAAGGGTCCTTGTCCGTGGCCGGCTTATTAGGCGGCCCAATGGGACCCCAAACAAATTGAGCAATGCGGCTCTTCGTCGCTTGAGAGGAGTGGGACTCTGGATAGTCACTTTGAGTCAATATGATAGCAAAAGCCAAGGGCCGTTGATAGATCGTAGAGTACGCACCAAGCTTCTGGTCCGGCACCATAGTGCCCAAAGCATCCATCGAAGCGGAAATTCTCGCCGCCCTCCGGCTCTGCCAAGCAAAGTCGCCGCCGGGAGACGACGTCTCCGTAGGCGAAGTCTCCGAGCTCGAGTTCTCACGGGACGTTGCCCACGCGTTGAGCTCTTCTTGTTGCTTCTTGTACCAGGCAGGCAGGCCCTGGAAGAGACCGAGGGCCTTTTGCGAGGCTTCGTCCAGGGGCATCTCGTGCTTGAACTTGCAGCCCGTCTGGGTGAAGGCGCATCTTCCCTCGTGGATCCACATGTCGCAGTATACCTTGTTCCTCTTTGATGTCGAGGGGCTTGTGGCGACGATGCGGTCGATTTGGTTCTGGAGGAAGATGTGAGTTTTCTTGGCATCATGGGCGATGAGAGTAATGGATGGCGAGGTGGTGGTCAAGATAGGGGAGATGAAGCTGCAAACTCACCTGGACGAGATCCGATGGGTGCCGAGGCCCATGGATTTGGCACGCCTGGGAGTCTCAGCTTTCCCTCTTCTCCCCTCTCCTTCAGATGAGATTTCTCCCTCTTTTTTCATGTTTTCCGAAGAATAGAGAAATTGAGCTTACTTTGACGGTGAAGGTCTGGCTCATATCCGCCATGCCCTTGGGTGGGACGCCTCGCAGCGGCGGCAAGACCACCATTCCGCGCCTCTCGGGCTCCCTCGGCGGGATCTCGTTGAGCGCGGGCAGCATGTCGGCCGGGACGAGTCTGGTCAGCTCGCCGTTGCCCCGATTCAAGTAGTAAGCATACCCGTCATTGAAAACGCCAGGCCCTGCTGGTGCAGTGATTCCCCTTCTGTCGGCTTGTCCCATGCTTGAGGGGACATGAGCTGTTGCACTTGTCTGGCCAGACGGGGGGGACCGCGTGAACACATTTCCGTTGGGGCAGAGAATTCGCCAGTTGTGAGATGAGAGGCCTCGTGAAGGAGGAGCAGCAGTGCTGAAACTCAGTTGCTGCTGCTGTTGTTGTTGAGAGACTGGGTAAGCCACGAGTTGCTGTCCGATGGCATCTCGACCGTTCTGACCGAAGCCCTGGATGAGGTAGCCGCTGAAGGTTGGGTGATGGTGGTTGTTCAATCCCATCTGCCTTTCAATCGCAGCCTCAGCGGAGCAGTCCCGGAGCTGACTTGGAAATGCTGGTGGCTCGGGGGACCAAGGCATGCAAGATATGCTTGCCGGCCTCGAGCCGTGTCCATAGGAACGGTCCATTGTTGGGAAACGAGGCAAACGGCGGCAAGTTGGACTGAAGACAGGAGAATTGGAGAGTATAGATGGGAAAGGCTGTGGGATACTGCAAACAAAAAGTCTAGTTGGTATAAGAAGAAAAGGCAGGAGAGAAGTGTTGTGAGCGTCTGGGATGAACAGGCGAAGCTCTGTGGCAAATGGGAGGCCAACATCAACTGCGAATGGAGGACTACATGTAGGATCAGACGTCAAGCTGCTGCCTCACCGACATAAGCCCAACGGTCAAGGTTGTGTTCCTCGTCCGTTTGTCGCCTTACCCCCTGCTTGATATCGAGTCAAAGCTCGGCTGGTTGCAGAGAAATCTCCGGTGTCTGCTGGCATTTGCTCCGCTGGCTATGCAAGTCGGAGTGTCTGTATTCATTTGATCAGGGCAACTTAATGCGTTGTCCACGTCTTTCCCATTTCTCCAGGATTCCGGCCGCCCACCCTATCAAGTATCCTCTCTCCCTTTCTCTCTCTCTGTGTGTCTTTATATACATATGTATGTAATAAGCTATGTCAATATCAAAAAGTGTATCCTTGCTCTTGCTTTCAAGACCGGAAATGAAGAGAGTCGTCAAGTCATGATCTATTCCTCTTTTCCGCCGTGTCTATTACTGAAGGAAAAAAAGGGGGGCCAGGAAAAATTTCACCTCTGCCGAATCCCGTTCTGCATGTGCACTTGACCTAATCTGTGGAACAGAGCGGCTATGTGTCGCTCTTTCATCGCTGTTGAGTACTTTGAATGATGAACAACGTCCAAGGCGAGACGTATCTGCGCCTCAGACGTCAGGAAGGAGATATACTCGTACCCGGTCGGTGCTTGGCCGGGCGGTGGATACGGGTACTGAGCTGGCGGATGTGCTTGAGGCGGTGGCCGACCGCCGTTGCTAAAGTATTGTTGGTAGTGTTGAAGGGTCTCCTGGCGTCTACTAGCACTGTCAAAGCCCTTCTTATAGACCAACGCAGGGCCAGGCTGCTGTTGTGTCGCTCGGGATCGAGCTTGGGACCCGTCGGTGGGCATTCCGGCATTTCCGTTGGCAGTCGGCGTCGACCTAGGAGGCCTGCCTCTTTTACGGGCCGTTGGCACATCGGCTTTCCATGCCGGTCCCGTTGCGGTCGGATCAGCTTGGGTTGGTTTTGGGGTTGAGTTGCTGGGGGTTGAGCCGGGCGTCTGCTCTTTGGGGAACGCGATGCCATGCTGCTGTTTTCTTTTGGCTTCTCTCATGGCTAGTACTTCGGCTGCTGTTTCGACTGTGGTTCAATGTTAGCTTTGCCGCCTTGCAATCTTGCTTCTGGGAGCGATCCGTTCTAAGGGTTCACATGGACGCAGGGGTTATTCTGCATGCTTACCTGTTGACGAGGGGTCCATCTCATCGTCGGACTCTTCAGGAGCGTTACCCATTTCAAAGTCATCAGAGGAGTCTGAAGAGTCGCCACCGACGTCGCCCAGCACCGCAAAGGGATCAGTGCCCTTTGCTCCATAGTTGACAGCCTAGAGCAAGCAAATTGTTAGCAAAGAGTCCGAGTACTGTATCGACAGGTCAATGTATCATACCATCCGACGTCTCGCCCCGCGCCCGAGAACTTCCTTGCTCGCCTCGGCTTCTCGTCGGGCTTCTTCTTCTCTCTGAGCAAGAATCTGGTCCCAGACGCTGGAGCCAATAGGCTCCGGAGCCTGCTCCTCGGAGAGGTCGGCCGTCTCTTCAAATCCAAGCTTGTCGTTCGACCATACACGGGCATAGGTGAACTGGCCTTCGGCAGAGTTGTCATCCACAGCTGCAGATTTCTCCATCTGAGAGCGGTCCAAAAGCTTGTCCACAGAGGCAGAGTCATAGTGGATGGCAGTCTTTTGGTAGCCCTCATCGAACAAAGCTTGAGCACCATGCTTCAGGATTGATTCCAAGTCGGCCCCTTCGAGTTCATCGTCATCCATGCTCTCAATAAGCGCATGGTCCAGCGCCATCTTCTTGCGCCCAATTTCCATAATTCGCTCCTCCACCGAATCCTTGGTCATGAGCTGGAAGCACAACACCTTGTTCTTTTGGCCAATTCGGTGAGCACGGGATAGTGCCTGAATATCTTGGTGAGGGTTGAAATCGGGATCCATGATGATGACAGTGTCTGCTGTCGCCAAATTGATTCCAACGCCACCAGCCCTCGTCGACAACAAGAAGGCAAAGAGCTCAGAACCTGGCTCATTAAAGGTGTCGATACGCCGCTGCTTCTCCAAACTGGAGATGGACCCGTCCAGACGACGATAGCCGTAGCCCATCCCATTAAGAAAGTCCTCGACAATGTCAAGCTGCTGCAGAAACTGACTGAATATGAGGACACGGTGACCCCGTTCCTTCAACTTGGGTAACATGATCTCCAGCAACAGAAGCTTGGCCGACGCTTCTACCAGGTTGCGATGAACTACCTTTGGATCATGGTGACGCTCTTCGATCGCTTCGGAATACATGAAAGGATGGCATAAGCATTTGCGCAGCTGCATCAGGATGTTGTTTAAGCTGCCGCGGTCCTTGGCGTTCATCTTGCTGTTTGCAAACACAGCTCGAATGAGCTGGGGATTCTTCGCCATGATGCTCTTCGACAGCTTCTCCTGAATGACCGTCATGGTGACAGGAAGGATGATCTGCGCCATAGGGGGAAGGAACTTGAGGACGCCGAGCTTTGTCCTTCGCAGGAAGTATGGACGGATTTTCTCGTGCAGCTTGGGAAGGTTATCCTTGTCCAGAACTGCATACTCCTCATCCAGCTTCTCTGCATTTTGCTTCTCGTCAATGAACTGCAAGAGGTTGAAGAGCTCCCTCTTGTTGTTCTGCAGCGGCGTGCCAGTTAACAAGAGTCGAAATGGTATCCTCATCGCCTTCAAAGCAGTATATAGAAGGTTTTGATCATTTTTTAGTCGCTGACCTTCGTCAACGACCAGTCCTTTCCAGTTAACGGACTTGAAGAGGGCAGATGTCCTTGGGTCTTGCGCCGAGTCATACGACATGATGACCACTTGAGCCTTCATGTCTGTAGAGCCGTCGGGGAATAGTTCGTACTTGTAGGCGAGTTCCTGAGGTTCCTTGCCTCCATGATAGGCGACCACTCTGACGCTTGGAGCCCACTGCTTGAATTCTCGACGCCAGTTGGAACAGGTAGCATTGGGTACGACGATAAGGAATGGCCAGCACTTCGGAGAGAAGAATTAGTAAAGGGAATCACGTCTAGTAGAAGAGACATATGAGGTTGCTTACCTTCGGCGCGTCCAGTACAAGGGAGGTTACAAGACCGACGACTTGAACTGTTTTGCCCAACCCCATCTCGTCCGCTAAAACAATGCTTCGATTCTGGTGAAAGTTCTGCAGAAGCCAGTTGAGACCTTCTATCTGATAGCCCATGAGCTTTCCTCGGGTGAGGCCAGAGGGTTGCGTGTCTACTTCTACAAACGGAGAAGACTTGTACAACCTGATGCGTTCTTTCATCTTGTTGGCAGATTCAGATTTGAAATGCTTGCCCTCAATGTACTCGCGGTACGCTTCCACAAAGGCGCTGTAGACTCGGGCATTGTCTGGGGTCGGGGGAGAGTCCCATACGACATCGTCATAGCCGAGGCCATGGAACTTGACGAGGATCTTCTTGACCTGGGAGATGTTGGCAAGATCATCTGCCTTTGATTTGCCCATTGAACTTGACCTGTCCATTTTGACTTTGAAAATGATGTCGGGGGTGATATACTCGTCTGGAATAGCCTCTTCGATGGAGAATTTTAAGAGATCCTGCTCAAGCGCACGTTTGGCAAAGGAGGTGCGCATGGCTCCGGAAGAGACACCAAATACCCAAGCTCCAGGGGCCCAAGAGCAGTGTCTGTATGACATGTCTTGCCATTTGATGAGATACTCCCGGTCGTCTTCGCTTACATCTCCGTAAGCCGGGTGATTGTCTCGTTGTGGGACCGGCCGCCACGCTATCAGGCGATGTATCTTGCCTTTGGCAGAGCTGCAATCGTTGCACCGCCAGTCGACCGAGTACTCTTTAAGGCGTTCAGACTTGACGTCCGTCGCAACCGCATCGGTGCCAGTGGAAGGCAGATGCTCTACATGCCATCCACGGTGACACATTGAGCAGCGGAAAAGGACATTGTCGGAGTTGTTGATGAGCTCAGGCGAGACTGGGGTGACAGGATCGATGCCGCCGTTATCTGCGCGCAGCTTTTCCTCCTGGCGAGCCGTCTTCTTCTGAGAAAAGGCGGCGCAGGATCGGCCGTCTTTCTTGCACTGCTGGCAGGCGCTGTGTCGGGGCGCACTGCTGTCTTTTTTGGAGTAGATGTTGAGGCAGAATCTGCATTGCAGCACAAAGTCGTCTTCTCCCACCTTGGTTGCCAAATGCTCCCGATTGCTTCGATACCCAATGCAGTTCTTATGGTACGCCAGGCAACACCCTTGGCAATAGAGCAGCTGGCCACGCTGCCTTGAGCCGCCACAGGTATGGCATGATTGCATATGCACGGATCCAAAATCCGAGTCTGGAGCGACTGGTTGGAAAACCTCCCTGACAGAGATGACCTTGGGCGCGCCGGCCGGCTTGTCGTCAACCACGTAGAATGAGTCGTCATCGTCCATGAAGGCGTCGTCCTGCATATTCGTGCGATTGCGCGTAGACCTTGCGGATCGTCGAGGCTGCTCGAATTCTATATCGGAATCTCCCGACCTCCTGCGTGCTTGTTTGGCGCTCTCTTCTTTCTGCTTCTTCAGCCGACGAGAGCGCTGCACGGCTCGTGAGGGGCGGCCCTTTTTCAGCGCCAGGTCAGACACCACGGGCAGGAAATTGTCGTCCTCGGATGACTGGCGAGACTCCAGCGCCAACTCATCCTGCTCCTGGTCCACGACACTCGTTTTGAAAGACATGCTGGTGAGCCTCAGCTGCGTTGATGTCCGCTTCCGCAGCCGTCGCGCCGGTTGGCTGGTCTCGGTCAGGGCATCGTCGTCTTCGCCCTCAGAAACAATGGATCCGCCAGCGTAGCTCGGAAGGCGACTAGCCTCACGCGAGCGTAAGACGCGACTCGGACGTGATGGACGCTTGCGATCTAGGATTATGTCATCATCCTCGTCGTCCAGATCTCCGGCATCAACGATGATGGTGTTCGCCTCGGGCTCCCATTCCTCGTCGGGGGCATGTTTTCGCTTGCGGTCGCCGCCCGCCATGTTCAGCGTCTCTTGGTATTGGAGGAGTGCCTCTTCGCCGTTGATGTACTGAACGAGACCGGCGAGATCGAGCTTCAATCGAGTTAATATGAGCCCATAACGGACGAATCAAAAATATACTAGCAATGGAAAAGAGAGATGCAAGAGCATGCGGATAATCATGTGGCGGGCAAGGGTCTATTGGGCAGAGGAGAAAAAATGTGGGAAAGGGTAGCTGCTGTGCGAGGGGAGCGGTGACTTTTTTTTATAACGGCTAACATTGGCCCCGAGGAGCCTCAGGTGAGAAGAAAGTGATGCCCTAAACCAAGGTGATACGATGATCCGCGAAAAATCGAGAAGATGATGCCGCCAGCTGGAGAGCTTCTCGATCAAAGAGCTTGGAGCAATTGGGGTGCAGGGACAAAGGCTTGTGCGAGTGTGCATGTGCAGAGTTGCTCGGGGACGTACCGATTCGACTCTTCCATCAGTGAATTCAACGTCGTACTGTTGCACATCTTGGGCAAGATCAGAAATACCCGTCACATACTCGACGACAGTGCTATATACCGTCGAGTATTCGCTCTTCTCCTCCTCAGAGAGAGCTGGGATTGCAACTTCGAATCGCACCGTCGGCGGAATCGCTAGCACCTCGTCTTGTAACATATCAATATCGGAGTCGATCGGAGTCGAGCCTTCGGGTGTCGCTTGCGTGCCGATTTGTAGAAGCTCTTCGTCGGTATCCTCGATCTTAACATCGGCTACCTCTGAGTCGAGGCCTGCGTCTGCCTCTTCTCCCTCAGCGTCTACGCCTCCCTCTGCATCCTCCTCATCCTTAGCATCTGCTTCTCTCTCTGCATCGGCCTTCCTTTCTGCGACAACATCGTCGGTTTCGTCTCCGTCCAAGTTCCCTTCTCCGTGTATCGCTGCTTGTAACAGAGCAAGATCGGCCAGGTCGCCGAGGTCGTTCATGTCGGAGAAGGCGAGGTTTAGCGAGGGCATGCCATTGTCGAGATTCTCGTCGCCCGGTTCACCGATGCCTTCAAAGATGCTCATCTCATCCATCTGCATTCTTCTGGTCAGCACAGGCTCTTCTGTGGCAACAGGGAGTTGATGCGACAGCTCGCGATAAGCTGCCCCTAAAGCGGACGATGGGAGCCGCACCTCGTCAGATCCAGCGTCCCAACGCTATCGAGACGCATCAGCAGAAGCTATTAGACACAAAGTCAGTGCCATAGAGGAGGCAATCGTGAGATATTCGTGGAATATCGACTTGGGCGCACTCTGTGTCGCATTCACTTGTCGGCCTCTGAACGCGGCCCATATCTGACCGAATAAGTCGTCTGTTCGGAACGCGTTGAAAATAGTGCTGAGATAGGCTTAGTAGCATGTGAAGGAAATCGTTTAGTCATCATTCCTGAGGTACTTCGGCTTGCAGGGCATTTCCATACATTGGGCAAGTATCCCGAGTTGACAGTGAAGATTCCTTGTGCGCTAAGAACCGTTGCATCACTCACCGCCTTTGAGAGACCCCTGTAGAGACCCCGCCAGATCCGGCAGAACAAATAATCTGGAACGCCTGCAGGCGAACTGAAGTTCTAATAATAAGTGCCGGTAAGATCGTCTCTTGTTGAAGAATTTGATGAGCATCAACCAAGTGCTCTCTTTCCAGGCATGACATCTCTTGGACTACTGAGAGCCAATGGCTTGTCTCGCCAGCTATGCAATAGCCTGAATAGGCCAGGTGTCTATCCTTTACAAATAAAACGACCTGCTACCCTCTCGGCAATTCACAGAGGCGTCCGGCGATCTGAGAGAGTCCAGTATGGAGATGAGGACAGAGGCCGGGAGTCACAAGGCCGGGGCAGAAATGATGGACTGACTCGAAGAGCGCTTGATGGCGCTTCATCACCTCGCCAACAGCAGAAGCTGCGCAAGAAGCTTGGTCGCAAGGAGGAGGAGGAGGAATCCGGCAAAGAGACAAGGCGTAAACGCTTCCTCAATCCAGACTCGAGCTACGGGAAGAGGAGCCTGGTGTATCAGCTCAAGCATGGAGCTTTCAAAGAGCAGGCTGCTTCTCTTGTGAAAGAGCCGGTACGCCCACTCCCTTATCAGAGACTGGAAACCCGGCCCCGGCGCAGGACGGAAACTTCTCAGTTTGCTGAAGAGCGTTCAGAAAGGCCTCGCCATTCTACAGGGCGCTCCTTTGATCGTACTTCGAGCCGCAGAGATGATTTCCGAGATTCTCAGTTTACGGAAGAGCGTTCGGAAAGATCTCGTCATCCTGGAGGGCGTTCATCTGAGCGTACTTTTAGTCGCAGAGATGATCGCAGAGATGATCTCCGAGAATCTCAATTTACGGAAGAGCGTTCGGAAAGATCTCGCTATCCTGGGGGGCGTTCATCTGAGCGTACTTCTAATCGCAGAGACGATTTCCAAGGCGAGATGGACAGACCAAGACAGTCTTTCGGTCGCTCAGGTGAGCGCCCTATTGGTCGCAGAGACGATGTCTACGATGAGGTGGAAACGGCAGAGCCTCGCGAACGGAGAAATCAGATGATGGCTATGAACATCAAATACACGACCGCCGCATCTCAGTTCCTCTACGGCAAGTCCGTGGTAAAAGCAGCACTCGAACAAGGAAGGCGAAAACTATACAAACTCTTTATTTACGGAGGCGAGAACCGAAAAGACTCCAAGGACAATGCTATCATCACGAGGCTAGCAGAGAGACGAGGTGTTCCAATTGAGATCATACCGAACGAGGACCAGCGGTTGATGGACAAAATGAGCATGGGCCGACCACACAATGGCTTCGTGCTAGAGACATCGCCCCTACCTCGGCTGCCGGTGAAGTCGCTTGGGAGGCTCGAAGAAACGCTAGGAAAGCTGGGCTTTCACGTGGAACTAGACCACCAGTCAAGAGAGGAAGAAGCCATCAATGGACAAGACACGTTTATCCCGCGCAAGAACAACAACGCGCCGAAACCCTTTGTCCTTTTACTCAATGAGATCTTGGATCCTGGCAATCTTGGAGGCATCCTTCGAACAGCCAGCTATTTTGGCGTCGATGCAGTGGGTATCACGAATCGCAGCTCATCCACGCTCACTCCGGTCGTGCTCAAGTCGGCCGCCGGTGCCGTGGAGGAAATCACCATTTTCAGCGTCGACTCGCCTGTCAGCTTTATAGAGGAGTCTCGGAAGCATGGCTGGAAGACATATGCCGCCGTAGCGCCGCCCGACCCCAAGCTGGCCCAGAGACACGGCGACAAGTTCATTTCGACGGCGACGGTTGAGGCAGAACAGCCTCTGACGAAGCATCCGTCCATACTGGTTCTGGGGAATGAAGGCCATGGCCTGTCCAAGCCCATCAAAGTGGCAGCCGATTACGAGCTTTCGGTGCCGTACTTTGTGGGCAACAGCTGCGTGGATAGTCTGAATGTCAGCGTCGCTGCTGGCTTGCTGTGCCATGCCTTTGTGAGGGCACCGCCTATTGTGAAGCAGACGGCGCCAAAGCTTGAGGAGGAGGCTTCAACCGAGACCAAATCTGCGACTGAAAAGGAAGACGGTCAAGACGGGAAGGAGACATTATTCTGAACGATTTAACGATTGTATATGAAATGTATAATAACTTGGAACCTGATACGGCGATGTGTAAGATTACGAGGTACTTCATACAGCGACTTAGATCACCGAGTCTTTGCGCCCTCTGCAGAGCTACATGCGCTTCACCCAAAGAAAAATCTGAGCTGCAGATGAAAATTCATTTGATTGACCTTCCATAGCTAGCAAATGATTACAATACCATCGTAGGTTCATTGATACCATCTTGCAGTAATCCTAGTGAGTGTTGTAAGTCATATGCGGCTCAGACGGTGGCCCACAGGGGTGCAGGCTAAAGTTGGTTACCCCAGCCACCAGCTTGTTTGTATTCAAACTTGTTTAGTCCTGGCTAGCATCGCCAGCTCACGGATGACTTGCATGCAGGATTAGCTTGTTTGAGGGTGGCCAGGAGAAAAATCGCAGTTGTCTGTGTATTCCTGTTACCTTACCTCAACTGTTGCATCTCCAGTATCTGCATGATAAAAGTTCATCGGTATTGCGAGCTTCCGATCCTCTCACAGGCGCTGACCGCCCCGCGATGACAACCCTCCACAGAATGCTTCTCCTACCAGCAGCTCTCCTCGCTCTCGTGTCAGAGGTGGCAGCAGAGCAACCGCTGGCTACGGCCATCAAGAAGCAGCTGCCCAATCCAAACGAAAAGCTGTTTCCCGACCACCTCGCCTTCGAACCACTCCCTCCATTGGCCCCTTACGAAGCCGCGAATCTGTGGCTCGACGGCGACGACGAAGATTCCTCCATCAACTCCACGGAGCGCTTTCGCCCTGCCTTCTCGAACCATTTTCACAACTCGGAAGAGAATCTGTTCCGACGCGCCGCAAATGTGCTGGGAATTCTTCAGAACCGAGCAGCATGCCCCAGTGGAATGGAGAGCTGTTCCAGCATTGGCGCAGATAACAAGTGCTGTCCGGACGGGACATACTGCACCGATGTGTCGAGTTCAGATGCTGGACAGGTTGCGTGCTGCCCTGACGGAGCCACATGCGGAGGAGGAATCGGCAATTGTCCTTCGACTGCCGTGAGCTGCCCTGCGGATCTTGGCGGCGGCTGCTGTATCCCTGGATATGTCTGCTTGGGCATAGGATGTAAGTGAAGATAGAGGCTATACCCAGCGTCCGTCAGCTGCGATCTTGATGCTCACGAGAAGACACAGGCGTCCCAAGCGCTTCAGCAAGCGGCATGCCGACGCCGACAGCACCGGCTTCGAGCGTCTCCGAAGTGCAATCGACCGCCCCTACAGGTAAGCAGTAGCCAATTACCTGTGATCGTGATCCTGACCATCGCCGACACTCCTGTCCCTCCTCCAGCCACACACAGACACTGACAGTAACTGCCACAGGTTCTGGTGCCACTGGAGCACCGCCATGGCGGCCCACGGACGTGACTTCCACTTCCGCCTCGGTCTCGTCTTCGTCTTCGTCTTCGGTCTCCTCCACTGCCTTCTCCTCCACCTCCTCGGCGCCTCCCCGAACTACGACTCTATCGGGCGAGACCCAGACCGGCTGCCCCACCGGCTTCTACGGCTGCCTGGCCACTCATGGAGGTGGCTGCTGCCGCACCGACCGCGATTGCCAGACTTCCTCCTGCCCGGCGCCGTCGACCACCATCGTCTCTCATGGAGTGACTGTCGTTGTGCCGGCAGGCGACGTGCCGACCGCGACTGCTTCGGACGAGTGTGCCAGCGGCTGGTTCCTCTGCGGAAAGGACGCAGGAGCGGTTGCCGGATGCTGTCCCAGCGGATACAAGTGCGGCACTGCGAGCTGCTTCACCTCCTCAGCATCCCAGACCGCCTCGTTGCAGAAGCAGCAGCCAGAGCCCGAGGCCCCGAACAAGAGCGCAGCTGCCGGATCATCGCGCTGCAGCCATTGGCTGGCGCTGGGAAGCTTCGCTGGAGCTCTCTTCCTTCTTTCGGGCAACATGTGGTAGGGGAGGAGTTACCAGGTCCGACGAAACGGACGAAGATGAGTGCTTGCGGCGTTGAGCGCGGGAGACGCATACTGGATTTCTTTTTCTCTTGCTTTCATGCCCGTGATGACTTCATGAGCCAACGATGTGCTGGCAAAATGGCGGGATGACTGTTTCATGTAATACCGACTCACCTATATAGACGCACAGAAGACTCACATCATGAATGGCGACATGATCACGACCAAGTACCTTCCATGCCCAGCAGCTCAGAGACTGCTTCCTCCATCGACGGGTCGAGACGCAGCTCCTGCTTCCTCCGTGGACTGGCGGCTTCCTCCATTCCCCGGCAGCTTCCCTCGTTGCGAGCTTCTTTCCGCCGGAACCTCGCCGACGAGGACGCAACTTCTCAACTGCCTCTCCTCCGCGAGGGAAGGACGCCAGACTCTGTTCCAGGACGAGGAAGGAGCCAGACGACCCTCTGGGTATATAAAGCCCTCGTCTCCCCCGAATCTCGTCTTCATCTTTTCCACCTCGTCCATCGCAGCATTCATTCATCGCTCAGCTTCTTTGCTCACATACATTATTTTCCTGTTTTCTTTTTGGAGGCCACATCATCTTCACATCCAACGCACACCACAGCTTCAACCGTCACCCACATTCACCATGAAGTTCCTCGCTACCACCGTTCTCGCTGCCGCCGCGGCTTTCATGTCCGTCGCCTCTGCTTCTTCCGACCTCCGTGGCAAGACCCTCAGCGAGGTGCTCTTCAGCGATGACGACGATTTCGAGGATTTCCCCTGCGTTGAGATCATCTTCCGCGACAACACATGCCAGTTCGACGATGACCGACGATTCTCTGCCGCCTACCTTTCTGCGCGCTCCGAGTGCGTCTGCGGCGGAGACGGCCTCGATGATTTCCTCGACTGCCAGCGGTGCCTGTTGGACCACGGCTTCGGCCGCGAAGTCCGAGACCTCTGGCGCAGAATCTTCGCCGTGATTCGAGAGATTGCCTGCGATGATGACGACCGCCGACTGGCTATTCCTGGTCAGGACGCTCCGGTACCGACCGCTCCCACTCCCTCCATCATTACCATCACCGTTTCTGATCCCAACCAGGTCGTTCCCCCCGCCACTGTGAGCGTGAGCGCCACTGGTGCCGGCCCTTCACCATCCGGGCTTCAGAAGTCCAGTGATGAGGATGCTGCCACTGTTCCGACCGCTTCGCCGACATCCGAGTCGACCGTTTCCAACGATTTGCTGCACGAGTCCCCAGTCGTCGACGTTGCCCACGACCGATCTGCTGCCGTCTCGTCGTTCTCGAGATCTGGGATGGCTTTGGTCTTTGCCGGCGGCATCATCTTGGGCTTGCTGTGATGGAAATGAGTTGGCATGGGCGAGTGGTTGAGATCCTGGTAGGGGCTTGGGGAGAGGAGGAGTGGTTTCCGCGAGTATCATTAGCCAAAAAGTATTAATACAACCTCAAGTTCCCACCAAACTTTGCCCTTTTTGCTGCGCGATGAGTGCCGTGATGAACTCCATTTTTTTTTTTCCTCGTGTGATGCATGCGACTTTGATTGCTGTCCCAACCTTTCCCTTGTTTTGCAGCATGAATGTCTTCGAGACCGTCTTGAACTTGGAGTTGTGCTCCCTTGTGTGTTTGTATGCAAGCTCCAATACCATTTCACTGTTCTTTTATCCTTATTTGGCGTTGCGTGAGCGGCTAGCTGAAGCACAACCAAGGCACGTCATTGAGTCCACGATGTTGCGGAATTGACGTTTGTTCAAGAGAATTATCCTTTCGTCGAGAAGTTGAGCGGCGAATAGTCGTCCAATGCTGACAACTCCATTGATGATGCGAGACCGCGATCGATACACGAAAAATACTTGATATCATTTATTCTTTAAGCCAGCATGGCCTGAGCATTATTTACACATTATCCTCCTCCTCTCCGCTGTCATTTACTGTGGCATAAACTCGAAAGCGTTGGCGAGCTTCTCCTGGCAGAAAGGCAGCTTGCCAGCGGTCCAGATTTCGGTGTCCTATATAGAACGGATTAGATATAAAATTTCTTGAAGGTAATCTTGAGGCAGGTGGGTGAGGCGACTGACAGGCTTCAGCTTCTTCTTGATCTCGGTGTCGAGGGTTCCGGCCTTGAGGGCAATGATATCAGGAGCACCATCGGGGTCGTGGGCGATGGGAGAGCCGCACTCGGAGCAGAAGAGGCGGTGGACAGCGTTTCCGGAGGCGGCGGTGCCGGTCCACTTCTTGACGGGGCCGTTGATGGTGAGGGAGGCCTTGGGGACGACGGCGACGAGAGCTGCAAGGAAGGTTGGTTTGATTAGTCTAATTCCAGAGACTTTGGGAACAATCGAGGCTGAGGAGCAGGGATTCGCCATCGCAAGGGGGGCTGGGAGGTGTATGCATACAGTAGGTTGAGCCGGACTGGCGCTGGCAGTCGTCGCAGTGGTCGTAGCCGGTGATGATGGGGGCGTCAACGTCGGCCTTGTAGGTGACGGCCTTGCAGAGGCAGTGTCCGGTGAGAGGCATGATGACTGAGGTGGTGGTGTTGTTGCTTCTATAGAGGTAGGACTGCAGTTAGAGAGTTGACACAAGTTTAGGAGAGAAGAATTGCAGATTCTGCGAAGGTGATGGAAGGATAGGATGCAGCTTCTTTCTTATATGAAGACAGCTACTGGAGCTTCATGCGTGCAGATGGGACGGGATTGGCGGGGTAACACAAAGATTGGAGCGTACCAGAGACGGAATTTCAGCTTTGGCGGGGTTGGACGAGGGCCACGGCGGCGGCGATGACGTGGGATTTCGCTGGAAGTTGTTGGGATGCGGAGCTTGTCGCTTCGAGTCTGGTAAGATTTCAGATGTCAATCTCTTGGGGAAGAGAGGAATCGACAGCTCTTTATATCCTCAGTCGAGCGCCATATTCTTCAAAAACTCGTCCCGGGAGAACGATAGATAGTAGACGAAGTATTCCGGCCCATGTCGTCAGCTCGTCCGATCGTCCGAATTCAAGACTCCTCTCCTTCGTCTCATGGAAAGCTTCGCATTGCGAGTAACATCAGGGCAGAGAAGTAGTATCAAGACGCTAATTCCCTGTCTCATTGCCGCAGAGCTCTCGCTATTGGCCTCGACTATTTGTCATTGGAGCTTGAGCTGGGGCGGAAAAGTGGCTCCGGGCTAATCGACGGGGCAAGCATGTCGAGCAGTAAGAGAAAGAATTTGGAATGGGCTGCAGGAGGCATCATGGGGGACGGGCCCGCCCCGGCCGATACGACGGAAGCTCTCCCCAATGCCGAATTTTGCCCAGTTGGATTGCTGCCGTATCGGGATCCGGGTGCTTTGCGTCGAGGGGCATGTGCGGCAACTCGTGTAGTAGTTTGCTGACGCTCATGGGTTTCCGGCAATCAGAAACTCAAATCATTTCTGCGGGACTGTGACATGATCCTTGCTAATAATTGTCAGTCTCGTTGACGTTCTATGCTTCGCAGCAAGATAGGAAACATACTGGGAGCTGTACACCACACTTCCGACCGCATCTACCGAGATAGGAAGAGAAAGAAGAATTGTTCATGGCTAAAGAGGGAGGCAAAGAGGGGGGGCCATCTGAGCAGTCAGTAGCATCCGCAAATGACACGGAGCTGGACAATTCTCCTCGCTGTTTAAACAGTCCTGTAGCGTCAGCTTGCAACCCTTGGGTGCGCGAATGAGCAGTTGATCTTTTGCGAGAGTGCTGCATCCAAATCCTTCCATGCGGCGCTAAGAGTGCCCGAGGGGAACACCATCAGCATAGCAATGCCGACCGGGTTGCCTTCACGGAGCGCTGCAAGCGGATTGCATCCATGGGTTTCACCTCCAAATGCTCCGGACGCTCGTCCATGGCCCAGCTGAAACCGCCCAAGTTGTCGGGCGTATAGCTCCTGGCGGTCGACATTGTAGCCGATGGATTGGCTCGAAACGCAATGCATAACCATCGGCTCACCCAGAGGCGATGGTACTTGGAATCGTCCTAAGAGCATTTCTGAGTCGGCCCAATGGGCCTTGAGGCCAAGCAAATCATAGACAATTGATAATGGGTGTGTGAAGGTTGCATATTCATGATCGTTTCCTGTCGACTCGTCGCTTTTTGACGAGGCGAACATTCATAATGTTCATTCGTTCATCTCTGGAGGTCCATTTGGCCCCAGGTTGGACAATTGTTTGACATATTCGGGAACATTGGCGGTAATTGGATCCTGAATCTTTCATCATCAGCAGAAGTCTGCAAGAAATATCTCTGATTGCCTCAGATCAGTATGGAGGGTGTAGCTCCAGACGAGTGACCAGTCACGACGACCAGAGTAAGGAAATCTCTTCGCAACGATGAGTAGGCAGTGAGACTCTGTTTGGCACCATAAAGAGGTGCAAATTAGGCTTGTCCAATGAATCCATCTTGAAAGGAGAAAGTGCCATGCCATCAGAAGGCAGCCAAGCGATCAGTGTCCAGAATCACAGAGGCAGAACGGCATTGGGCGTTTGTCGAGGTCAGAAGCTTCCGCGTTAGTTTCGAAGAAGTCTCTCGCCGGTATGGTAGAGCTTGCTAGACGATAGACGGTTATTGTTTCCAAGAGGTTTCTGACCCTGATAGCAGGAGATGTAGCGGGTAACGGTGTGGTATGAGGAACCATGCCACGTTGTCTGCTATGTCACGCAACATCCGAGCTGGTCAACTCTGCACGACATGCCCAGTTGTCCGCCGTCACTGTGTAATCGGCATATTCAGGCGGTCAGCGATTTTATCAGCTCTCAGACGAGCAGCTATAGCCAATGCCATAGCGATACCCTCGTAGCGAACTGGCATTGGCGAGTGAGTGGCTCCGGCTGAAGGCAAGCCAGATCAGGATGGTGGCGATCAGTTAGATGGCGTGTCACAAGATGCCGGAAGACGGCAAACGGTGATACAAGCAATCATCTTCTGTCTCCGAGGAGTCCAATCAGCGACAGAACATCCAGATCGGGGTCGGTAGCCAGCCATAGTGCAGTGGTTTGCGACGAGATATTGCAGGTATACGTGCTTGGCTCTGGGTAGATATCGAAGCAGAGTCTGGACAAAGACGATGGAGTATGACTGTGGTCGCACAGATTCCTCTATGACAGGTATGCAGGAGAGAGAAAGATTAGAGAGATCTGCTCAACGTCACAGAGAGGAAATCCCCCCTCAAAGATTCAGTGATGGCCATCAAGGTGCCTCATCCCCATTGTTGGTGAATCTCGAGACAGACAGACAATTGGTCACAAACATGCTTAGTCATCTGCATCCACTGAGCCAATCGGACACCTTCGCTGACTTAGGTAAGCTGGGGAACTCTAGCACATTCCATGAGCGGCGATGCGACGCCCCACGGAGGCGCCGACGACTAAATCTGGCTTGCCGATTGAGTCAGATTGCCAGCCTTTAGAATTCTTATTCTCGCCCTTGCCTCCGACCATAATACAGTGTCTTACTAACGCCGAATACTTTGCACTGCTGCTATATAACCATTCCGTCTCTGACGCACCTGTTTGTCACTTCCTCCCTCTCTCTGCTTCATATATCCAACTGCCAGCGTCCGACGCTCCAAACAAAACCGCTTCTCTCCATCCCCACGCGCCAATCTCGACTTCTGTCAGCGTCATTTCTGACCGCTTTCGCACATCAGACACAGCAAAAACACCACGTCATCATCATGTCTAACCTCGACTGGGATACCACCACCAAGATTGGAAGCCGTGTTCGCGGTCCTGGTGCTTCGGACCGCGAGACCGTCATCCGAGGAAAGAGTGCGCTGAACGCCGCCCAGCGAGCCGGTGCTGCCATCGCCACAGAGAAGAAGTACTCCACTGCCAACTCGGTATGTCAGCGCCCGTCAAATATTGATGCCCAACCATGAGCGAATTTGAAAGCTGACATCAGAATCTTCTCAGGTGGGTGGTACCGAGGGTCAGCGTCTCACAAAGGTCGACCGCTCCGACGACATCATCAAGCCCAAGACGGTCGGCAAGGAAGTCGGAAAGGCCATTGAGCAGGGCCGCCAGAAGTTCGAGCCCACCATGACCCAGGCCGAGCTGGGCAAGAAGATTGGCGAGACCGCCGCCACCGTCGCCTCATACGAGCGCGGTACTGCCGCGCCCGACCAGAACATCCTCTCCAAGATGGAGCGGGTGCTCAACGTCAAGCTGCGGGGTGCCAACATTGGCGCCCCGCGCCTGGGCCCCAAGAAGAAATAAATGATGCCCTTCTGACGGCGATCACTTATGAGGATTAAGGAAGAGACGGGAAGCATGCAATGTGCAGTTTGGGCAAAGGGTGCGACGAAGTTAACGCGGCTCTCGCCCTGGCGGCTGTGGCCATGATTGCGCAAGCGATGCGCGCGTTCGGCGATACATGGGGAGTACAAAACCGTTTCGATATATCTAGATGGGATCTGGTGGTATTCCTGCGTGTATAGCAGAGATTCGGAATGTTTTTTTGTTCCGGTTTGTGCAGGATTTACGGCGTTTAACGTGGTATGAACAAGGAAATAGAATCCAAGAACGGTGGACAAACGCCAGTTTGCCTGCATGCTCATTTTTGCTTCACTTTGACTCTGAATCCGTGCCACTTGTCTCGCAGCTGCGTGCAAAAGTCATCTGCATGATCATCTCCCCAAACGAAATTCACTAAAGCACGCTCGGTTTGATTTTCTCTCACTACCATATGAAATGTCATCGTTCAGTGCACGAGATGCGAAAATGGCGGCAGACGACATCGAAGGCGATGATAAATCTCACCACACCGACGAAAGCGTCATCAACCGAAAGAAAGAACTAAAGGGCCTGCCCAGCAGCTTCTCCTCCAACATCGGCCAGCGCATCTCACCCACCCGTCTGCCAAGCAGCACCACTCACAACACACCAACATCCAGAACAACAACGACGAAGGACGGCCGCTCAGTGCGATCCATCGTAGCCTGGCTCGAGTCCGCAGCCACCAACGCCGACACCTCGAGGGACGACTTGAAGTCGGTTCACTCCGTTGCGACGATATCGTCTGCGGGATCGAACTCGTCGTTGCTGAGCAGGCATACGATTCCTGGGGCGGAGGGTGTGGAGGAGTATTCTTTGACGTTGCTCAAGTATAAGAAGTACTATACTGAGGTTCCGTTGGGGAGGTGCTTGGACGATCAGAGGAGGGATGGAGGAGAATCTGTTGCAGATGGTTTGGAAAGCGGAAACGCAAATGCATCTACTGAGGTTAGTTTCTGTATGCTGCAGAGATTCGAGGATTGTTGTGCTTTCTGTAAAAGGTGCATGCTCATATTTGGATCTACAGCTCTCTGGTAAGGGTTTGATATCTGGGTGTGGGCGAGATACAGCGCTGGTGCACGACACACGGCCGGAAACTGTGGCTGTTGCTGGAAATTATGACGGTAGCCGGGCGGAAGAGGTGCATCTTTTTCAACGAGATCTTGAAGAAGTGATGGCATTTTAGACAAATGTCCGCCTGCAGCTCTATATCTCGGATGAAGAATTGGAGTAGGTTGAATAGGGTAGGCGGGATGCATATATGGGAACGCGAAATCGGATTTTCGCAGGAGGCTGAGGAAGCGAATACTTCTTTTCAGAATTCAGAATTAGAAGTAAGGAAGGATATTATAAGCTAGACAGACGTATTCTGGATGCGCATCTTGACCTTGGAACTTTCAGTGGAAAACATAGGGTAGAGGCTGGAGCGGCCGTCGCACATATCAAGAGTTTGAGCTTCAAGTCGCTGTATTAATACTATTTACCATTTTCTGTCTAAAAATGCGGCCACTGTAATAAAAATTCGGCAATGGTAGTTGTGGCCGCCTCAGGCAGTCTTATAATTATCAATCGTCGTCTCTCGGTGGGGAGCGACTTCACGCTTTTGTCCCAACTCAAGAACTTGTTTGTTTGACGGTGAATTGGCCTGCGAGCTCCCCCTTCGCCAATCGCCGTGACTGGGATATCGGGCATCCATAACTGGAGGTATTGCCCATCGTGATAATCATTCGTTGCATAATCTGGTACTCGTCTATGATCACGCCTTGGCGCTGTACTTTGCGGCAGCCTTGTCGAACAGACTGCTCTTCTCTTCCAGATCCAGCACCAGTTGGTGATGAGGGTTCACCTTCTTTAGTGATCTAAATACTGTTAGCCTGGATTATCGTGGGGACAGAGACAAATGCGTACTCGAGAAGCTCCTCGCTGTTGTTTCCTGCAATGGAATTCAGCACTACCAAGTTGGCAATTCCTTCTGCGTTTGTAGGATCCTTCTGCAGAGCCTGCTCCAGAGCGGATTGGGCTTCCTCAAGGCGGCCCAGGTGTATCTCGCACACAGCCTGTGCGATGAGGCTCTGTACTGAAAAGGTCGAAGAGCCCTGGGCAAGCTCCTCATAGACGTAGAACGCTTGTTGATATTTCTCGCCGCCCTGTAACATTGGATTTAGCATGCTTATCACCCTGCCTGCCAATCTGCCATCTCTCTTACCACTCGAGCCCCAACCCATGCCTCGGCCAGGTTCACCAGGAGACTATCCTGCGCCCATCTCCGCGCGGCGGTGACTTCTTTCAGAGCGAGGTCGGTTCGGTTCTGTTGCAGGTGAATCTGAACAATGAGCGCGACGGCGTCCACTAATAAAGCGTCAGTCTCGTAGCCGACACGGTGATGTGTTAACAAGCCTCACAGCTTCCTTGGTGCTTGGACAGCAGCGCAAGCGCCTCCTCGGACTTGCCAGCCGCCTGCAGGACCGTGCCGCCAACGACCTGGACAGTGACATTGTCGCCTGCAGATGCCGCCAGCTTCTCAATCGTCTTCAGCGCCGCGTCCGTCTTGCCCAGGTTGTATTCGGCCAGCGCGCCGACGGCTTCTAGATCGGGGACGGTCTCGCCCTGCACTTCTGCGAGAACATCTTCGGCTTGTCCAAGGGCGAGGCGGGCTCGCAGCTTCAGCACTCGCGCGGGCACGGCGTTCTCGGCGGAGAAGGATGATGTGTCGAAGTCGATGACCTGCTGGTATTGTGACTGGTAGAAGTGGGTGTGGATGTTGATCAATTCGCCTTCCGCGGAGTAGGGATCCATTTTGGCGACTGGAGGCTGGCGACTGGCGACTCTGGAGGTGTTAGGAAATCTGTTGTCTTGAAGAGAGAATCACAGCAGCAACAAGGAGTAGCATCACCAACTTCCGTACCTTGACATTAACTGGCCTTCCCAGCTCCAATGGCTGTCCGTGGTGGGGTCCCGACAAGGGGGGCGGCATGCGCCACACCGAGCAGCGAGTGAGTGGCTGGTGCGGAATTCTTGCGGCCCAACAAACGAGGCAGAAATCCTGACTCACCGAAGCAAGCCACACTGGTTATCGAAGCCCCAATCAGGCATAGCGTTGACCCTATCGCCCACAAAGCGAGAAATCACCAAACTCTCCCAAATTTCGCTTTACCTCTGGGAACTTTGCATCACCAAACAACCCAAGTAACGACACCGCACACCGTCGTCAAAATGGTACGTTCCTTTCCGGCTGCGACTCTCACTGATGCTCAGTCAATCAATCTCCTTTACACTCGACTCCAACAACGCGATATTCTCGAATGTTTTCGGCGTCCGCACGAATGGCAGTCTTTGCGATTAAGAACCGGCAGTTTTCCCTCGGGCATCGGATCTCTGTGGGTGGAAGAGGGCTGAAGAAGGGCGGAACGCTGTCGCTACATCAAGAATTCTCGACAACATCAGTTATGCGATCGTGAAAATGCGAAACTGTTTAGCTGCTTGGGGTTGGAGAAATTGATGGGATCGAAATCGACAAAGACTGCCTCTCTGTGCTGGACGACACGACCGCTTCGACCTCGCACCCATTCAACATCGTTCAACCCGCGAACCATCAGATGGCTGACCATTTCTCTCTCTCTCGGATTATAGGTCAACATTCCCAAGACCCGTAACACCTACTGCAAGGGCAAGGAGTGCCGCAAGCACACCCAGCACAAGGTCACCCAGTACAAGGCTGGCAAGGCCTCCCTGTTCGCCCAGGGTAAGCGACGTTACGACAGAAAGCAGAGCGGTTATGGTGGTCAGACCAAGCCCGTCTTCCACAAGAAGGCCAAGACCACCAAGAAGGTCGTGCTGCGGTTGGAGTGCGTCAAGTGCAAGACCAAGTTGCAGCTGGCCCTGAAGCGATGCAAGCACTTCGAACTGGGGTATGTGGACGCCGGCGACACGACGCGAGACAGGAAGCGGATACTGACTGCGGCTACAGTGGTGACAAGAAGACGAAGGGTGCGGCTCTGGTGTTCTAAATGCGTTGTTTTCCGGTATTACCAATTCTTATGCTTCTCCTTGCGGCATACGGGCATCATGGAACTTGGCGAAGGGGGGGTTACTGGTCCTTGTTTAGGGGACAGCGGCTCATAGGAAACGAATAAAAAAGATTTCTTCATGACCGCAATTCAGACGCTTTTTTCTTGGTACTGGTCACAGTTGTTAGGGTGGGAAGAAAGCACGGCCAACCCGGGGACAAGATTCCAATCCACGATGGGCCTGGTGTCTCTTTGCTGGGCAACTTTTCACTTCATGAAGGAGGGCTCAGACTAGCTGGCATGGAAGAAGCCGAATACCAACTCGCTCAAAGAGCATGTACACACGAAGTTGCTGCTGTCTCTATGTCTGTTGCTTGTCTATGATCTATGCCGTCTGTCTAGACTCAAGAATCATGGCCTATCTCTCTCAACTAGAAGCCCTCACCAAGCACAATGGTTCGGCCACCTCCATACCACAGCGCGCCATTTCGCACATCCAGCCCCTTTTCCTGTCCAACAACCCACTCACCAATAAACTGGGCATCCTTCTGGTCCCATACTTCACTCTCCAGCCAAGCATTGATGTCATCAATAGCCTTAACCCACCTCTCCCTCTTCTCAGGAGTATCATGGTCCTCGTCAGTCAAGTATCTTCCCAGCGTAATATGCGCACTAGGAACCTGATACCGCGACCCGACTTCCACTCCAGCCTCCCTCACCTTGTCAAAAATGTCCCGTCGAAGGTGATGATACGTGTAGTCATCGCCCTGGGTAACAGGTCCATGGACGGGCACATCGGGAGCAACCGGGGCCGGAGAGAGAGGAGGCTCGCCGCAAGCGGGGAGAAACGAGAGGGCGAAGGCGGAGAGGTCGTATGAGACCATGGGCTTGACGAGACGAGAGCGGTGGGTGTGGGTGTACGAGGCGATGGAGGGAGCGGCTGGGCGGATGATGGAGACGAGGGACCCGATCTCCTCGGGGGTTTTGGAGAAGGTGATTTCGAGGGTTGTCAGGTGCATCCTGTGGGTGGGCATGAGCCAGATTTCTAGGCGAGATCATGTTAGCGACTCTTTTGATGAGCCGTTGTTCTAAGATGGGGAGACAGCACTTGGTGAAGCTTGTTGGAGAAGTGCTTGGATCTTTGCAGCCAGCTCAATGACGTGGTTCGGAGGACGAGCCCAAACCACGAGGCAGTTCCGCTCATCGCGGAAGCCGGGCTCGATGCTGGGGTTCTCGAGACGGAGGAGGTACTGGTCGATGACGAGCTCCTTGTAATCTGGGGAAAGGAACTTTTCCTTCTGGAGGCCGTTGCGTTTGGTGCGGTGAGCGTGATACAGAGCTTGGATTTGTTCCTACAAATGGGGCAGACTTAGCATCTTTGGACTACACGAATTTTTTTGGGAAAGATGGGAATCGAGCATGGGATCTGGGATGTGTGAACACTGACGGGCTTGTTATCGCATGCTTGGATGAAGGCCTCGTAGGGGTTCTCGCCTGGTTTCAAGACGATGCCGGAGAGGTCTTCGAGCTTGTTTTGGGCGTTGGTGGAATACATTGTGCTTCCCATGATGTCTCTAGAGTCGAAAGAAGCACATAAACCTGAGAATTTCTTTAACATCTACTCGATTGGTACTCTCACCTTTATCTAGACATGTTGCGCCCTTGGATCTCACAAGAACATGCAACTCCCCGCTTCGGCTCACACAAGACGACACATGTGAGATGACTAAGCGGCCAATGAGGTTTCGCGATATCAGAATTCACGGGCTGATGGATATTATTTTGAGGCTGTGACGGTGAAATACGAAACGGCCGAATATCAAGATAATCTCCGGTCTACAGATTTAGATTGGGGTTATGGAACAGGGAGTGACAAGGAAGCGCATATCGTGAAAATGAAAAAGCCCTATAATTTGACCGACCAGTCTGTAAGCGGAATCTTCACCCGAATGCGAGGCTCGGCGCTGCCCTCTGAAACGAATTCCAGGAGCTGGCAGTCCTCGATGGCGACGCCGCTCGCAAACTGCGACACCACAAAGTCCAGCCTCGTCCCGGCCTGCCCCAGCACCACCATGGGCGAGTGCCAGGTCCCCGCGCCGTAGGTCACGGCCTGGCTGTCCGTGGCGATGAAGGCGCGGAGGCGCCGGAGATCCGGAAGGCCTCTCCCGGGTAGCCCGTCGTCGCCGGAGGAGGGGACGGGGAGGTCTTTGTCCTGGGGGCTTCCGGGCGGGAGGCTGGGGGCGACGATGACGAGGTATGTTGATGCGGTGGATTTGATGGGGGTGAATGTTTGTGCGGTGAAGGGGTGGCGCTCGAGGTGGCGCACTGTGAATGTGTTTCCTCCCGCCGAGGGTGATGACGATGAAGATGATGAGGATGATGATGATGAAGAACTGTCGGCGGCGCCGCCTCTTGCTGCGCAGACGAATATGCTCATGATGGGCTCGCCCTTACCGCTGGGAGCCTGGTCGTAGAGATTCTTGAGGCGGCTGACATTGCGATATTGGATGGCGGAGCCTTGGTTGGCGGAGAAGGCGTTGGGCGGGAGCGTGGAGGCGTGGGCGTCGAATGACGAGGGGTGGACGTCGGGTCGCGGATTGGAGATGACGTCTCCAAAGGGGGAGAAGGCTTCTTGGGTTAGGCGCTCGGCGGTGATTTGAATGTCGAGAGCGCCGATGGGGATCTGGATTGCCATTGTGTTGGGCTGAGTTGGGGGATTTGTCGTGGGAGAGAGGGGAGGAGGTTGATGGTTGTGGCTGAGATGAGGACGGATCGAGTTCAGTTGTGAGTGGCGCAACACTACTTTATGTCGCCGGTGATGATCGAAAACTAGAGAAGATGATTCCTAGGGAGAGCAGTTCATCGAAGTGGGAGAAACGAGAAGATGGATTGGAATGCATTGCATCTCTTTCTCAATGCTTATCGTGTCATCACTATTCCGGAAGCTTGGCGGTGAACTCCGGTGCCGGCCGGGCCCGAAGAAACTCGGCGTCTGCTTAACGAGGACCGACACCTCACCTACCTTACCAACAGTATCTGCACTTTTGGTGACTCAAGACGAATAGTCCGTCTTTTGAATTAGAATTGCTTGTTGCTTTCATTAGAGAAGGGCAATCGCTATCAATTTGCTGAAACCTGTCAAAGCTTGCCTTGGTAATGCGCCGTATTTCCCAAGTGGTTCGTCCTCCGTAGGTACTCGTGATGGTGCCGCGTTGAGCTTCAAGCTTCAGCAGATGATGTGCACTCATGCAAAATTCTTTCAAGCACAAAACTATGGCCAGATAAAATGACAATTCGCTGAGGTATCGTGCAATTCTAAGTCTATATATCCATCCATACTCATGAACACTCCAGTTCCCAAGCCACATGTCCTTGGTCGGCATCGCTTTCTCCAACACATATCGTACATCCATCTATTCAGGAGGCATGTCATCCACAACGCCCTACACATCTTCGAGCGCCACCTTGCCACCCAAATCACCACACTGCTTGGCCACCAGACAGTGGTTCATAGCCATGACAAGCGTCTTGAGCTGATTCCCCCGCACATTGTCCACCGATATCCAGTTAGGATAAGAGTTGCTGGTTGTCGATAGCCACAGCTCGTGAAACAAGGTCCTCCATGCAGACAGCGCCAGCTCCGTAATGGGCCGTATGGGCACCGCCGCCCCGAGGCCCTGCTGCGTCAGGATCCATTCCGCAATGTGAATCGGGCTCTGCGGCACCGGTCGGTTCTTGCGGAACTCGCTGACTTGGTGCTGCACCATGTGGTCGATGTGGTCGGTGTCGGTCCAGGGGTGGCGTGTCGGGAAGATGGCGCTCGTGATGTAGCCCTGCTTGCTGCCGGGAAACAGGTCGCCGTCCATCTGGCGCCATCTGTCGTCGAAGTTGACGATGACGGCAGACGTTTTGTTGCCGATGAACTCGCCCAGCTCCAACTGGGAGAGGTCCCAGCCCTCGCCGCGCACGTGGATACGGTTCTCCAGCGCCTTGAACTCTTCGTACAGCGCCGCGCGGTCGGATTGGTTGAGAGGGCGATAGTCGCTCTCGGCGTTCCATCCTTGGGAGCCGTGGACGTCCCAGATGATGAGCTCGCCGGGGTTCTGGCGGTTGAAGTCGTTGACAATCTTGATCATGTCCTGGAGGGAAGTTCCCATGACGCCGTGGAAAAGATCGAGAATGCGGGTCCCATGAACCTCGCGATAGCCGTCTTTTGTTCTCAGGGGCCGAAAGTCAATCACTCGGATGCCACCGTCGCCGAGCTGATCGTTGAGCTGGACCGTCTGTGTCTGGGCGTTGGCCGGTGTAGCGAGGCCGATCTTCTGGAAGTGCCCCCAGAGCCCGGAGTGATGAGATCTGGGGAGGATAATCTCCCGGAGCTGCTTCTTCTCAAGATGGGGGAGCAACGTCTGCATCCAGCCGATGGGCGGGTCGTTGGCGATGAACTCGCCCTCCTGTCCGGCGAGAATAAAAGCCGAGCCGCCGGGGTACATGTTGATGCCTAGGTTGTGGACGCTGCCCCTGGCGTTGTTCGTCGAGGACAATGCGCCGCGGTACTCGACTTTGAGGAAGCTGGAGCCCCTGTTGTTGAACTTGACCATGAAGGACATGGGCTCGGAGGTGCCCCTGAGGGCGTACTCGACCTCGGCAGCAGAATCGGCCCAGTTACCGGCTCCGTGTGTTGGCTGGATGAGGATGGAGATTGATTCTCCTGGGTATATGAACTGAGGGAGGTCTTGCTCCCATTGGGGCATCTGGTATTGGTGGATGTATGTCTTGGCCCAGATGTACGGGCTGGCGTTGACGAGAGACAAGTATGTTTCGTCGATGTGTTGAGGATCCGCTGCAGGCGATGATCTCTCATATTCGTTCATTTCGGGCGGGCTCGAGTTGCCTGCGAAGAATTCATCTTCATCATGAAGGACGAGCTTCGGGGTGGTCAATTCCTCGCCGCCGGGTAATGGTGCCCCTGAGGACAGGGAGCTCAGAGCAAGAACGAAAAGGCCAAAGAGGCAGCGAAACCGAGACATGATGATCGGCTATATATTGGTGTGATTGAGGTGGACAATATGTACGGATTTGAAGCTGATTGAGAGTATGAGGTTATGGATGAAGCTGAGAAGACTGAGAATACCAATGGAACTGAGAAGACGGAGAAAATGAATGGAACTGGAGAAGACTGACGAGAAAGAATGCGAGGGGAGGGACAGGCTTTATACGGATTGAAAGTAAACAAAACAGACAGAACTCGGCGCCGCCATTGTTCTCTTTTGAGGTCAAGCGCTGCCCTAAAGCTTCAATCTGAAAGTTAATTCACACTGGGCAGAGCCTTGATGGTGATAGTGTATCTTTGACTTTCATGGAGGACGATGCAATGGGTATAGTGGCAGCTCAGAGAGTTGGTTGCGCGGCAACTGTCCATACTGCTATACCAAAGGAAGCTTCGAGGTTTTGATGTTACAATGATGGTCAACACAAGGTAAGAGATGGGCTGGGAGGAGGAAGACTCTGTTGAGAGACTTGAGCAGAGAAGCGGCCAGGGAGTTTGGGGTGGGCTTTCTCAGGATATGGACTCGGAATCTCGGATCGGGCATGGAGAGGCATGATCTAATCGCTTTGAGAAGACTGAAACGGCTCAAAGATTTGTATCAGGCTTTTATTGTGAGTTACTTGGTAGTTATTTTCTTAAGCCATTTAAGGACTGGTGTTGATGGCTCTTGGTGTTTTAACATCCAGAGAAGACGTCAACAACACTCGAGTTTTCTCTTGTTCCCGGAGTTACTACACAGACACCCCCAAGTTGTAGAACAGGAGCTCAGGTTCATATCTTCTCTGATTAGGCAGACAGCGTCCGCATAGCTGCAGATATTGCAACCTCACTGTGAACGCTATAACTACATGCCGCATATTCCGCAGTAGGCATCATCTGTCCTCAGAGTGGTATACCTTACACAACTCAACAAGTAAGTTTAGGTGTACTCCTTATTAGATCGAGTGGCTGAAAGCCATATACAAGCCACTACCTTCGTGACAATGCCACCCGAAGAAGCCTCAACGTCTCCTCCCATATAGGCTTTATGTAAGAAGCCGTCCAACGGCCTCCTCCTCCCGCTATTGTTCCCTTCCTAATCCCGCGGCCCCACGGCCCCAAGCCCTTTCTCTACCTTAGCCGGCTAGCCCCCCTTGTCCGTGAAGAAGCGCAGAGATTGGTTCGGAGTTTGCCTCTTTGCTGTCAAAAAACGTCGGCCTTGCAGCTTATCGTGGCCGACGGCAGCCATGGTTGGTCGGAGGGGCCAAGTCGGACGGCTCGCGCGTGCCGAGCGACGAGGATGGCGAAAAAGATGGTTTGGGTAGCATCATCGCTGGCGGATCTGCAGGTTCTTTTGCCTTTTTGTTTCTTTTTCTTTTCTTTCTCGATTACTTCTTGTCATCTTTCCATCTGTTCTTCGCTTCCATTTTTTTTACTTTCTGTGTTACTGGATCGAAGATCTGGTTCCTTGAAAGTTATCTGACTTGCGAGATTATCTTTGCCGTTCCCCTCTTACACCATTTCGACGATCGATAACCGCCAATAGTGACATTTCGATTATACCGCCCACCTTTTTTTTTCCTCCCACCCTGTCGAGTCCGCGTGATCTTCTCTTCAGATTGGAATAGATGAGGCACGACAGATCTGATGGCGACGAGGATGAGTCCGGCGACGAGCTGGCCATCGGTTCTCGGCCTGGAGCCTCTGTAGATGGTGATTCAGTGAGCAGTCGTGCGGAAAACGATGCGGAAGACGGTGCGCTCTCGGTACGAAACTCCGACGACCGAGGCGATAGCAAGAGACCAGTCTCATGGAGCGAACTTCCTCGAAAGGACCAGCTCTTCATCATTACCATGGCGCGCATGAGTGAACCGCTTGTTCAGACTTCATTACAGGTGAGATTTACGCTGGCCAACAAGCCGTTGGCAACTGGACAGTCAAATGGAAACCCCTCTTCAAGAACTTGTAATCATAGACTTACACCGATCTCTCACAAAAAGGCCTACATGTTCTACCAGCTCAAATGGTTCAACCCGTCTCTCCCCGACTCGACAATCTCCAGCCAGGCGGGCGTCCTGCACGCCAGCTTCACGGCAGCGCAGTTCCTCACGGCGATGCTCTGGGGCCGCATCGCGGACTCGAAGCGCGTGGGGCGGAAGACGGTCCTGCTCATCGGGCTGCTGGGGACGAGCGTGTCGTGTCTGGGGTTCGGCTTCTCGACGACGTTTTGGCAGGCGTTGCTGTTTCGGACGATTGGGGGCGCGACCAATGGGAATATCGGGGTTATGAGGACGATGTAAGTGTTTCTACCTCCTTTTACCTCACCTTCTCTTCAAGAGCCTTCCCAGTCTTGCTACGGATCGTTACAACTATATGGTAGAAGTGTCATACTGAACAACTTTCAACTGCAGGATCAGCGAAATCATCTGCGAAAAGAAATACCAGCCCCGCGCATTCCTCCTCCTCCCGATGACCTTCAACATAGGCGTCATCATCGGCCCCATCCTCGGCGGCATCCTCTCCGACCCGGCCGGCAGCTACCCGGGCCTCTTCGGGAACATCGACTTCTTCGTCAAGTTCCCCTACGCGGCGCCCAACATTGTCAGCTTCTTCTTCCTCGTGTCTGCCGCCGTGGCGGTCTGGCTGGGCCTGGAGGAGACGCTGGATGCGCTGCGGGACGGACCGCCTGATTTGGGGACGCGGCTGGGGAAGAGGCTGATTGTCAAGTACAGGAAGAGGTTTGGGACGACGCCTGAGGCCGAGGGGTATTCGTCGGTGCCGGCGTCCGATCTTGAGTTGAGAGGGGGTGAAGGGACTGCTACGCCGAAGAAGTCGACGAAGAGATATACACAGAGGTTGCCCTTCCGAAGAATCTTTACCCGCAACGTCCTCGTCACGCTGGTTGCGCAGTTCTTCCTCACCTTTCACGTCGGGACATTCAACTCCCTCTGGTTCGTCTTCCTCTCGACGCCGACCTCGGACAGGGAAGTCCATCTGCCCTTCTGGTTCACCGGCGGCGTCGGCCTGCAGCCCCGATCCGTGGGCATGGCCATGGCCATCCTGGGCTTCATCGGCATCAACATGCAGCTCTTCCTCTACCCCAACGTCTCCGCCCGTCTCGGCACCATCAAGGCGTGGCGGCTCTTTCTGCTCTTCTTCCCGGTGGCGTACTTCCTCGTGCCGTATCTCTCCGTCGTGCCGAGCACCACGCCGCCTCCCGGACCCAAGACGGGGCCTCTGATATGGATTGCCATATGCTGCGTCCTGTTCTTCCAGGTGACAGGGCGGACGTTTGCGCTGCCGAGCCAGGTGATTCTCGTCAACAACTGCTCGCCGCATCCGAGCGTGCTGGGAACGGTCCATGGGCTCGGGCAGAGCGTGAGCAGCGCCGCGCGCACGATTGGGCCCATGGTGGGAGGCGTTGTGTATGGGTTTGGGCTGAACAAGGGCATCATCGGGCTTGTTTGGTGGGGGCTGAGCAGTATCGCCGTCTGTGCGTGCTTGACGAGCTTGGTGGTCAAGGAGGGCGACGGGCATGAGATTTGGCTGGAGGGGGATGAGGAGGAGGAGACGAGTACATAGGGATAGAGTTTATGATACCATGAGTGATTGATTTGGCAGTGTTTTCAGCTTGCTTGAGAGATGGATGTACTAGACAGCTTCCTATCCTAGAAGGCTATAGCGATGCTTGACAGGGGCAAAATGATACTTCGTCAATGCATGTCCTCTTGTATTGTTACTGTCGGTTAAAGCCTTCCGAAGCTCTGGGACATTCCAAGTCAATGCCCCATGGCAAGTAGGTTTCCGTAAAGGAGGGCTTTCAAGTCTAAAGCCAACCCTAGAAGGGGTTCGGCGCGACTCAACAAGTTAAAGAGCGTCCTATACCGGAAGAGCATAGCAATACTTGACAAAGAGGAGCGAAGTGACTTCCTCTTCAACAGTTTCAAACTGTTACGGTCGGTTAGAGACTTCCGTTAGCTCTTGGACTTTCCAAGGTAGTGTGCCCCTATAGGAAGTAAGTCTCCGTGAAGCCAAGTCCAAAGCCAATCCTCACTGAGTTCGGCGTGGCGTAAACAAGCTTAAACCTGAGTATCAAGGTTCAGCCATCTTCAGGAGAGGACCTTTGTGCATCTTATCGCGGTAGCGAGGTTTGTCTTGTGTGTTGTCTATAAAAAGGTAGTCATCCCCCTCCCCGAGGACAGCTCAAAGTCCTCCTTCTTCAAAGTCTCTCATCAAACCCTCAAACAACCAGTTCACACACACAAAGAACTGTTTCCACATCTACAAAAAGAATAACATCTTTTTACCAACTTTCCCCCATCGTCTGCCACCATGGACGACGTCGAGCTCAAACTCGTGGTGCTGTGCATATGGCTCTTCATAGAAGCACTTGTTTATACAATGCAAGTTTCTTCCCTTCGTTCCACGACCTAACATTCATGTGAATTGCAGGTTGCTAACCTTAATTGCCTCACAGTGCTACTTGTTTTCCGCCCAGGCTCCGCATCGATGTGGTTGCCTTCGTCGTCATCAGGGACGTTCAAGAGGAATAGGTTCCCCTGCTTCAAAGACCTGATGACGAGGGCTGGTGGCGGTGGTTCTTCAATGAGGACGTTCTTGTTTGAGTTGCTTCCGAACTGGGAGCGTGCATAGCCTTTAGATTGCATATGGTTGGTGGTTGGATACGGGGCGTTGACTCTTCTCATTAAGTGTTACAATACATGTTGGATGATGGCGGCAATTAGATTGAAGGGCAATTGGAGAGATTTGGGATATCAGACAGCCAATACGATGGTTTTTGGTCGCTATCATGGTCAACCTTGGTAACTCAGGATACTCATAAGCATCTTGATTCTGTCAACGGACGCAACTGTGAATGAGCAAATGAAGAGTATCTTCCTCCATTACTCATAGGTGAGGCGATTCTCTTAACATGCTCACAGACGGGCACATGCAGCATATGCCTTCAGAGTATGTTGTTAACTTCCTCTCTTATTAATCCATAAATATTCATTTTTATTTCCGTGTCCCCCCAAACGCCATTATCGCGGGCTAAACGCATGTTCAAGAGAACTCTCTCGGTTTCTGGCTCGAGCCCAAATTAAGAGGCTCATCTTCGTAGCTATCCCTTCCAGGAGTCGCGCCCCTCCACGGTGCAACGTTCTGAAGACCAATCTGTGCCGACGGGGCTTCGTATCCCGGAGGGGGATCGTTAGGATACGATGGCGCAGCGGTGACGGTTGCCGTGTAGCCGGTGCTTCGCCATGGCTCTGGGTGCTGCTGCTGGTAGCTGTGGTTGAGGCCCTCGAAGCCGGAGGGGCCCTGCTGGCGACGGGGCATCTGGCGCTTGGCCGCCCAGACGATGTATCCCAAGGTGCACATGACCAAAAAGAAGACGATTCCGAGAACGATGAGGGCATATCTGCGATCGAGCGCGAAACCAAATCCGCTGCGGGTGAGAGATTAGCAAAGGGACGACACATATTATGGGGAGGAGAGAAAGCCTACATATAGCCGTTGACTGCGCCAAGAGTCATGACGATTCTGCCGTTCCAGAGGTGAATCTTGCCATACGTTGTGGGCTGCTTGGTCTTTCGCCACTTGAGATGATGTAGAATCCCAGCGGCCAATTGGACAAACATGAGGAGAATGACGATGAAGCCCAGGACCTGGTGGAGCGAGTGAAATCCGCGGGACTAGAAAGTTACAGTGGCGTGAGTGAAGACGTCGAAAGATGGAGAGTGATTCATGCGTATACTTACCCGCTGATAGTTGAAGCTCGTCAAGATACCAAAGGCAAAACCTCCGAGAACGAGACCGAGGGCGAATGTCTGGTTGAACTTGTGAAACTTGGCCAGCTTCTCCGATCTAATGAGAATCGCACCGATTGGCAGCAGTAGCATGAAGCTGAAGACCATGAACGCTGCGTGAGCTGCCGCCTTCCAGTCGAAATTGCCCGTGGAACGGCTGTTGAGCGTGGTGCCTTCAGCCACAGAGTCCTCAGTGAGGACGGGCAAGTCGGCGCGGCCCTGGGTCCTCTTCATGTCGATGGTGAAAGTGCCGTGCTCGCTGTGCATCTTGAGGTTCGCATCCGGCTCGTCGTCGCTGAAGCTCTCCTTGGGGCCCAGTGCGTAGATGGCTTTCTGATTCGGGGACGACACGTCAATGTAGCCCTTGGAGGTGCCGCCGGCGGGCCAGCTGCGGCAGTGCTCGTTGCAGACGGCGTTGAAGGTCATGAAGCCGTCGTCGACGCCGGTGCCGCTGAGGATCTCGAACTTGAGGTCGGGATAGTATTTGGGCTCGTAGTTGCCGTAGGCAAGGCGAGGGGAGAAGGTGACGTAGTCGCGATTGTTCTTGCTGCGGTAGAGGATGAGGAAGAGGGCGCCGGGCATGTCGTCGCTGCCGAGGCCAATGGCGCCCCAGGAGCGGTCTGTGGACACGCGCAGGCTGAAGTAGACGTCTGTGTTGCCGTTGTCGGGGCCGGTGAAGGCGAAGGCGAGGCTCTTGTCGGGCGAGATGAAGGTGGACTGGCCCGTGGGGTTGTTGGCGTCGTCGGCGCGGGTCGACGCCGTGAGGGCTGCTGTGCGAGAGACACTGTCAGACATGATTCGATACAAGCCATTGAGGAGGAGACTCACCAGCCGCCGTCAGCGCGGCGCGCCACAGATTGCTGAGCAGCATCTCGTTGGTGCCGGGGAAACGATGGTGGTGTGTCGCGACGATGCTGCAATGTCGAGGGATCGCGATGTCATGGAGGGGAATGGAGATGTCGACACTGTCGATAAAGATGATGGACGGCTCTCGCGAGACTCGCCTTCACTGTGACTACCTATGAGAGACTGCAAGAAGGATGTTGTTTTGGGGAGGATTTCAGGGCTGGCGTGTGTGGTTGGTCTGTGGTGTCTTGCAGCTGGTGGTGGTGCGACCAGACCTCTACCTACTGCCCTTGTTTGCCTGCATCTGCCCTGTATCTGCCCTGTATCTTCCCTGCTGGATGCCGATAAGGTCTCCATGATGGTGGCAGATGCAGCTGGAGCTCCATGTGTCGCATCCACTGGGTTGAGCCCGTTATTGCAAGGCATGTATCGGTACCTGCAGCTCATGCAGTCAGCGCGCCGGCTCCCGTGTACGCGGTACCTGCTTGACACCCCATCTTTGCTTCTTTTCAGCTGCCTCCCCTGTCCTCGTCGCGCCGTTACGGGTATTTTCACGTTCACATGCTCTCCGTTTTCAAATCGATACTGCAACCTCATGTATTGATGCATCATTTGCGCCAATGTCTATCTCATTTACATCCTTCTTCCACTTCTCCTAATTGAGATATAAAGGATCATTTTAACCTTAAGGTAAGTATACCTTAGTTTATACTACTACTACTCGTACTTGTATGTACACTCCGCGCTTCGTCCCCCTGCAGCTTCATCACAAACGAACCGCGATCCCAGATGTTTCCCTCCCAGCCACGCGGTGATCCAAAAAGTGCGGAGGTGCTTTGATTGACGAGGACGCTCGGCTCACGATTGGCTCACCCCTGCTGCGGCGCGATGCCCGTTGAGGCAGTCACCATGAATCTCATTTCAATGCTTGTGCCGTCACTTGCAAGGATGCGATGAGTCGTGGGTGGAGTCGCGAGCAAAAGTGTCCGGCCAATGCCGCGCAGCCGTTTGAAATCATTGATGGAATGATGAGTCCACGATATTACAAGTGCTGAGTTTGTATCATGTAAGAGGCTGAAGAGGAGAGCGATGACATTGAAGCTTAGTATCAATTTTACTGAATTAACATGACCGATGATACTGCAATTGCCATCGTAAAGCCTGCCCGTAAACCGCCATACGCCTGTCTAACACACAAGGGAGAATAGGGCTCCAGTGAGTCTACCCGTTGCAACACCATCGCGAAATAACCCACACAGAGAAAGAACATGAAAGCAGTACATCCCCAACAGACCAAAGCAAAGTCACTCACATCATCTCATTGCGCCACCGGTCAAACCTCTCCAGCCCGTACGACACAATCATCGTAGCTTGGCAAAACTCGTCAACGTCCGACGCCTTGGCACTGGAAAACAGCTGCTCCCCATCAATACAGCGGATACTGTTGACGGCATTCTCCTGATAACGCTTCACCCAGGCGAATGGCGATGTCGCATCCCACAGACCTGCGCCGCCAGAGAAGACGATGCCCCCGGGACATGGAGACCAGCCTTGCTTCAGCGTCAAGTACACAGCCTCCGTAAGGGTCGCCGCCAGGTACGTGCGCCGAATGGACTCGGAGAATATCCACGCCTGCCACGTCGACGTGAGGGTCCCGTCTGTCCGTAGTTGCGTGCCGACCGGGCCGCTGCTCAGCTCCTTGTGAGAACTCGACGACAGGGCAAGCCCGGCGCTCTGCCATAGCTGTCGGGCCCAGAGAGCAAGAGTGTCAATGTTCTTCTCCGCCTGGGCACGAGCGCGGATGTCGCCGTCGAAGAGCCGGATGATTTTGTATATCAAGAGGGCCTGCGTCCTTGCAAGATGGCACGCGGGATCAAGCATGATGACCCCAAAGTCCCCCACGCTGCTGGCATGCTGGGTGTCGACCAGATTGTTGACGCGACTCTCGATGATGCGGAGGACCGTCTTCTCTGTTGCGGGCGTCTTGGAATTATAGGCGGCTAGGGAAGTGAAGGCATCTTGGATATTGTCCGGAAGATGGATCCTCCACAGCTGCTGGTGGATAAAGGGGCAATGGCCCTCGGTAGTCCACTGCCTCAACCAGCCGCGAAGCTGGTCGATGAAATACGTGAGAGCCTCATCGCTAAAGTAGATTTGCGACGGTATCGGGCCGTGCCTGTGGTCAATATCCCACGACGAAGGCGACAGAAACCAGGGGTCCTTCAGAGAGTCCGCCGCTGCTCGAGCTCCATGCGCAGAAGGGCTGAGCTCCGTCTGGCCCTGCGGCTGCTCTTCCGCCTGCTGCTGCTGCTGCTGCTGCTCACCGACCTGGGACGGCGGAGTTGGCAGCGGGTGTCTGTCCGCCGTGTCCGGGATAGGAATTACGGAGACGGCGCCGTCCTGCGAGAAGACGAAGTCGTACGGCGGCGCAACGCGCGGAGCGGGATAGCGGCAGACGACCTTCTTGGCTGCGCAGCGGTGGCACGAGGGCGTCTGCTTGCTGCACTTGCGCTTGGCCCGAGTGCACGCGATGCAGGCGAGGCGCTTCGGCGGGGCGGAATCCGTCATGACGGGGTTGCGGACGCGCGAGAAGCTTCTCTGTGCGGGAGACGATGCGAGGACGGGAATTCTTTTGGCGGCCAGGATCGGGGGAGCTGGATCTTATTATCTGGCTGGCCGGGACGGGCCATTTGTCATGCTTCGCGCCCGCATCCGGCGGGTTTCCTTCCGTCGGGTGGAGCCGGGCGCCGGGCCACGACGGCATCTCATAGGCCGGTCCGGCGGCAACTTTTCCACCCGCGGGACGGCGGCCGTCTTATACAGCAGCCTCCGCTGGCTGTCTGGGATTCATCGAGAGGCGGATGGAGAGAGACTGAAACTGGGCTTGATTATTAAAGGCGATTGAGAATACTCCGCTGGCCTTGGGGGCGGACTTGCACATGGCCGTGGATAGGAGAGGAGAGGGAAACGCCGCCCATGGCTTGTTTGAGCACTCTGAAAGGAGAAGAATCAAACAATCAACTCCGATGCAGATCCTGGCGAGCGAGTATAAGAGGAGGATGGAGGACCAGAGAACGGAACACTTTGCTCGGTATCATCACTACAACTCAGCATTCTTATACGCCTAACATCTAAGCAAAAAGCACCTTCAGAAAGAACCCTTTCAGCAGCCATGAGTCTCCCATCCCTCCAGCAGTACCACCGCAAGCCCTACGAGGCCATCTGCCCCTCCCGTCCCGAGCTCTCCCAAGCCGGCAAAACCATCCTCGTCACCGGCGGCAACTCTGGCATCGGCTACGCCATCGCCCGCAACTTCATCAAGGCCGGCGCCAAGCGCGTCATCATCCTGGGCCGTCGCCCCAGCGTTGTCAAGGCTGCCACCGAGAAGCTTGCTCAGGAGGCAAAGGCCTTTGGTTCTTCTACCATCGCTGACGGCAGGGTCTGCGATATTGCGAGCCTTGAGTCTACCGAGGCGCTCTGGACCGGGCTGCAGCACGATGGCATCTATATTGATGTCTTGGTTCTCAATGCGGCGGCTCACGGGAATGCTGTGCCCATTCTGAAGAACGGCCTGAAGAATGTGTGGGCGGACTACGAGGCCAATGTGCGCTCCTCATTGGACTTTGCGGAGCGATTCTACAAGCAGACTGGCAAAGGCGCCGACTCTCGCAAGGTAAATATGAACCATAGATCTTTTCGAACCGTCTTAAGGCCCCCCTATTGATTGACGCTGCCTAGTTTTTGATCAACCTCTCTTCCATCGTCAGCTACATGTGGTCCACAATGGCCCCCGAGCGTCCGAGCTACGGCGTGACCAAGAACGCTGGCACCGCCTTGGTCCAGCAGATTGCCAAGGACACCGACGTCAATGACATGCAGATCGTGAGCTTCCACCCGGGCGGCGTTCTCACGGACATGGCTCGCGCCGCGGGCGCCTCTGAAGACATCGGCATTCCTTTCGATGATGGTATGGATTCTTTCCTTTACCTGATCCTCCATACTTTACGACCTGCGCAATTGCTCATATCGTGTTTGCAGAGAATCTTCCGGGCCAATTTGCCGTCTGGGCCGCTAGCCGAGAGGCGGAGTATCTTCATGGCCGGTTCGTCTGGGCCAACTGGGATGTTGATGAGGTCAAGGCCGTTCTGGGCAAGCAGATTGCGGAGGAGCCCAACTTCTTGAAGGTTGGAATTGAGGGATTGTCGGAGAACCTGCCGAATCCAATGATTCCGCCGGAAATGCTGGAGAAGATTTTGCAGTTCCAGAAGGACCTCCAGTCGAAGAGAAACTAAAGACATTTCTTCATCACTTTTGAGATACGGACATTTGTGTAACTCACAACTTTAGCTGGATTCCTTTCCGGAGTCATACAACGCTTATATAAGGAAACAAGTTGATATTTGAGCATATAGACTCTACATTCTATTCTATAAGAAGCAGGACTTGGAAGCACCACTCCAGGCCCAGGCTCAAAACATCACTCAACGATGGCTTCCCACGAATAAAGACCCCTTGATCAACATTACACCTTGACGTGAATGTAGTTGAAGCTGCTCTTGGCCACCGTGCGGGTGCCGTATCCCTCAGGATGCGCCCAGTTATACTCCTCAATCGTAACCGTATCACCATCCACCTTGGACACCCAAGCAACATGTCCCGCCCTGCCAGCATTCGACTGAGCAACGCACCCGGGCACGGGCTTGTTGTTGACCACGACGCCCGTCCGGCGCGCTGCCTCATCCCAGGTATTCGCGTTGCCCCAGTTGGTGCCCTTGTATTGGTTGTTGAACTTGATGCCCAGGCGCTCGTTGATGCGCCAGGCGACGAAGCTGGTGCACTGGCACTTGAAGTACGCCCACTTGTCCTCCGGTCCGCACTGGTTCTTGTACGGGTAGTCGTTGGTCATGGGGCCGGGGATCTTGGAGCCGCCGCCGCCGCCGCTCGGGGGCTTGGGGGCGGGTTTGTCGTCGCACTTCTTGGTCACGTAGCTGCTGGAGCCCGTCTTGACGTAGTAGTCGGCGACGTAGCAGCCGTCCGAGGTCTTGTCCCAGATGGCGTTGCCGTTGACGCTCGTGCCGGCGGTCTGGCAGGTGACGGAGACGTCCTGGCTTTTCTTGTACGTCTTTTTGATGGAGAAGCTGGTGCCTGGGCCGGAGCGGCAGTTGACGGTTTCGCCGGTGATGGGGTAGGCGTTGACGGAGAGGGAGGCGAAGGCCAATGCGATGATGGCGGTGAGCTTCATGGTTGATGAGGTTTTTGGATTGATGGAAAAGATGGAGCAGTGTAGCTGCTATAGCTGTAAGTGCTTGTAGAGTAGAGCGTGTCGAAGTGTGATGAGTTGCTGCCGAGAGAAGGGTATAGCTGTCTTTTATAACCGTTTCCTTCAGCTGAAGAGCTTTCCGTCTCAACTCATATGTTGCCTGGATTGAGGAAGCTGTGCGAAGGCAAAGGAGTCCTGAGATGTTCATTCAAAGTTCTATTTCCGGCATGTAAGACCCTGATCACGATGCTGCCGACAAAGACTTGATCCCTCTCCTAGCGGAAATGTCTTCAGAACTGAGCTTCCAAATGAGACCACGACGGTCTGCGGCTGAAAAGCATCTCCATCGACGAATCCCACAATACTAGATTTCATACATGCTTAATTTCCCATCGAGTAGATCTTCAGGCCACGATGAACCTCAGCTATCCGTAACGAGTCAAGCTCAGTGCCCATGGCGTTCTAACAATAGTAGCAATCAAGCTCAATTTGCGGGTTCCTGGCGCACGAACCGGCGCAAATCGTCGGGCGAATGACAGTCACTCTGAGATGAACGGCTTCCGAATTCGGCAACCCTCGCGTTCATTTGTTTTGATCGTCTGGTCTATGCTGTATCTCGTAGGGCTGCGCTCTGTGGGAGTAGGTGCACGGATGGGTTGTCGTGTAAGACGGGGGAATGCAAAGGCCGTCTTATTGGCGAGATGACTTCGATGCTTGTAATTAGCATGGACTAGCTTCCGCTGAAGACATGGACCAGTTGAGCCAATCATCTCACTGTTTTGAGCCGTGTATGGTTTCTTCATCTACCGATTTTTCGAATACACTTGTGTATAAGTCAACATGGCTCTACCTAAGCAATCTTCCTACACAAAGTCGCGCCCAGTTCCGCAATTAAGTCAAGCCATCTATCCTGGTCATACCTCTCCTTCTCCTCCACCTTCTTCCCAAACACCTCCCACACCTCGATGAACTTGTGGTTGCTCTCCTCCGTTGTGCCAATGTCCTTGAGCGCCTTCATCATGTGCTCGTGCTTCTTCAGCAACTGGAAATCTCGCTTCGCCTTTTGCTTCTCCTGATCCTTGGCCACGAACCACCGTATCTGCACGCAGTACAGCACCAGGGCAGCAAGACCCGCGGCGAGAGCTGTCGCCACCGAAGAGCCGCTGACTTCTCGAGACGATGTGTCGGCGCCCGATCGGGGCCCGTCCATCTCGACTTTTGTGCCGGGGAAGATGAAGTTGACATTGGCCAGGCTGCCGACCCAGGAGTCTGCCGCGCCTGAAGCCGTAGCCGCACCAATAGTGAAGATCTTGGTCGTTGCCTTGGAGGGATACGTGAGGTTCTGCTTGGCGCCCTTGTCGCTGGCGGAGCAGAACATGAGGATGTCGGCGTTGGCGGCTTCGACAATGGCCGCGTCGAGGAAGCGCCTCTCCTCTTCGTCCTCGGGAGGGTCGATTGTCCAGGACATGGAAATAATGTGCACCTTTTTCCTCACCGCTGCTCTGATAGCCTGGATGATGGTTAGAACTTGTAAGAGATTCAAGGGCCGGGGCACCTCAAGTGAAAGGGAAACATACCAGAGCGGCACTCTTGGCCGTGATTTGCCTGCTGCCCTCCTCTGAAGCATGATCTTCCAATCTCAAGATGTAAAACTGCGCCCGAGGACACAAAGATTGTATCTGCCTTGCCATGATGGTTCCATGTCCTGTGCTGGACACATAGTAAGGATCGTTGAGGTTATGCTCCTCGTCTCGCGTGCAAAACGTCCGGCCCCCGATGAAATTGAACTCCAGATCCTTGACGTCCACGCCGTCGTCAATGAGGGCGACTTTGATAGGCTCTTCGATGCTCTCGTCGACTTTTTTGCCTTCACGTTCAGCGTAGCTACGCTCTGCGTCAAAGAGCATCTTCTTGAACTCCTTCATGCACTGCAGCCACTCGTGTTTGGTTGAGTGCTCGGATTGGTCGCCAGCCGCGAGAGCGTTGGCGTCCATGAGTTCCCTTTGGACGATTGGCCACTCCTTGTGAACAGTGACTTCGGGACAGAGCTTCTTCATGCGGTCGCAAAAATCCTCGACGTTTTGCTTTGTGCGACTGTGTGATTCGAGGCCCTGAAAAGTCGTTAGTCAGTTCGGCCAGTGCTCTGTAATACTTGATGAAAAGAGGTGCGATCATACCTGCTGTATATGAAGATACACCGTCTTGAGATCTCCGAGTTTCTTCAAGCCTCCTTCTTCGCTCCACCCCCTAAGCACTGCATTGTTGCCGCTCCAGTATAGGTTGACTTCCCGAGCTTTCGCTGCCACTTTGCAGATGACTTCAGAGCACAGATCCGTCCGTTTCCAGTCCCAAATCTCGACGTCCATGAACTTGAGGGCGTCTTCGATGGCTTCATCGCTGTGTGCCGGCGTCATCGAGTCGTCAATGATGACCTTTAGAATAGTCTTGACACCCTTCTTCCTCAAGCGGTCGAATATGTAGCATAAGTCTCGTCGGCCGTCGCCGTCCTGCTTCTGGGAACGGCCAGACCCTCGAGACCGCTTGCTATTCGCGATATTCATGTTCAGCTGCACGTTGAGCCTCGGTATGGCTACGTATTGGAGAATCTCTTCAAACTTGAGCTTGGACACTAAGTTCTCCAGCTCTGTCTGAGTGATGTTTGCGTGTCCTGATAAATCGAAATACAGTTCGTTGTCTTTTGCAAAGTATGTCAGTCTAGCTCATGTTTAAGGCTTCCCGTCACGCAGTGTTGTTCCCCTGCGAGTGCATTTCTTTCCCTTACCTGAAGTAGTATTACGTCCATACAGAATCTCCATGGCGGCATTGTAGCTGCGCGAACGGAGGTAGTGTAGCTTCAAAAGGCGCTCTACGCCCCTGAGAGTTGCTTCATCAACCTTGGACTTGTGACCGCTATCGGTAACTGATTTTGTGTCTGCGGTTGGCTTCACTGCGAGCGCGCCAGCTTGGCGCGAGGCCGGCGTCTTCTCGTCTTTGCTCAGAAGCTGAGGTGCTGTGGCCACTGCCGGCGAGTTGATATTGCCAATAGGCTGTGCTTTTCCTCCGTATTTTGTGCGAGACGAGTCGATTTGGATGTTGGGTCTCTTGTCAGGCCGGCTGCTTGGATCCGGAGCCTGCTCACCAGGGTCTGCAGGCCCAGCAGGTCCTTGAGGCTTTGGGGCCGTTTCTTTGCTCTGCCTCGAGGCATCGACATCGCCGCCATCAGGACGGACGCGAGCACCCTTCTCACCCTTCTCACGTCCTTTCTCATCTTTGGCGCTTTTCCTCTCCTTTTCCTTCGCCCGGGCTTGGGCTTTCCGGCAGCTCACTGTGTGATGGAGATACGGTGATAGTCCGTCGTTATTGAAGTCGCCGTTGGGAGAACGCTGCACGGCGGCGTCGCTCTTGGCAATGATCTTTTGGATAATGTCCAGCTGCTCCTTTTTGCACTTTTTGTACTCGACGGCAAGATGAAGCGGCGTGTTTCCGTCTCCGTCTTTGGCCGCAAGCGTCGCGGGCTCTGCTTTCTCGATGAGGAGGTCCAGGAACTTGACTCGTTTGTCGATGCCAATGTGAAGACAGTTCATCTTATCCTTGTCGTTGCTGGAGATGTCCAGGATGTCACTGATCTTCGGGTGGGAGTCGCACATCCACTGCACCATCTTCTCCTTCTTGGCTTCAATGGCCAGGAACAGTGGCGTATGGCCGGATCGGTCTTGTATCCTGAGGAGATCGTTCTCATGCTCCACCAGAAACTTGATGAGCGGCTCCATCTTGCTATCCAGCTTGGGCAACTCTTTCTTATCCATGGCCGCCATGATGTGTAAGGCTGTTGGCTGGCGAGCGTCTGTCGTGTTGGAAGCCAAGTAGTTGCCATCGCCGCCGCTGGCTTTGAACGACTTCAGCTGGCTCTCGTTTGTGAGGTCTCTAGTTCCATCTTGGATTCCCCTCAGGACCTCGTCGAGAAGTTCTTTGACTGACTTTCCGCCTCGGTTGCTCACTTCTCCCTCTTCTTCGTCGCTGTCGGACTCCTCATCGCTCGAGTCGTCGCCAGCTTTAGACTCTGCCTTTTCAACTTCTTCTTCAGCCGCCAGAGATTCAGGATCCCTCTCCTCATCGTCAATCATGGGACTCATAGTTCAAAGCTCAATATGCACGCCGTTTAAAAAGAAAAACTAGAGAATTGGCAAGTCAAAGAACTTGCAACAAGAGACACTATCATTTACGGTGGAAGTTCGCTGTCAAGACCCGGCAATGCACTTTGAGCCGCGATTACCAACTTCCGCCCCCAACCACGGCCCCTCCTCCTCGTGCCTCACATCAACTAGGATCTTGTATGGTAGCATTGCCTAGGCGAGCCTTGGGATACCACCGTGGTTGCTCCACCCGGTCCTCCGGCAGGGCTGGGAAGTAGAGTCGATGTACTCGCGGTTTGTGCCTCACTATTAGTAGTAGTATTACTCCGAAAGCTGGAGATAGGTGCGCTTGCGCGTTTGCCAGACGGAAATAGTACTACACAGTAGGCAAGTCCGCTATGAATAACTAATCAGGCACCCGAATGGAGTCGTAAACAAAGTCCTATCTGCGTGGTTTCCCTCGAGTTGCCATGCCCCGACCTATTGAAACACAGACTAGACAACGGTTAACAGGGGATATTCAGTCCACTCTGCCGTACAGTTGGAACCGATGAGGATTTACACGGACCGGATGAACTAAAGCTCACCCCTGGTTGCTCCGCCGGCTTTGTTTCTTGCATGTGGGTGATTGGTCAACAAACGACGTCTCGTGGAGGAGTCTTCGTGCTAGCATTTGCGCCCTGCAGCGAACGCGTCAGAGTGTAAGGCAACGATTCCAAGGTAGGAAATTCCTGCCGAGATAGGTTGAAGAGGTGATAGCTGCAAGGCTTCATTACAACACAGACTCGAGGTGTTGATGGTTCGTTGCTTGGAAGGCCTGAGCTTCACTGTCTATCTGTGCTCACTGGGCCGTATATATGAGGACTAATTAACATGATGTGCGTAATGGCCTGAGCTCAAGATGCCAGCTGTATGAATTATCTAGCTGTCTGTTCTATTGCCTCGTGGTGTTGCTGATGAATGCATTATGACGATTCCTTCTTCTTCTTCAACTGCTTGTCAAAGACAATGTCTACAAACTCGTCCAAGTCAATAGACCCCAAGTTCTCCGTATCATACTTTCGCAGCTTATTCGTAGGAGGCATATCGGGATCAAACAAGACGGGATCATCCGGCGGCGTCGAGCCAAACAGCCGACCCATTTCCGACTTCCAGTCCGCCTCGACCCTGATCCTCACCTTACACTGGAACTGGTTGTCGTCAAACCCACGATTGAGCAGGATTGCGCACCGCAAGAAGCTCGGCGTGCCAGACTTGATCGTGGAGTTCTCGTGGATGGTCCAACTCGCGCCGACGCCTTTGCCGTAGTCGTCGCTGAAGATGTGGCCCGTCACGCGGGCGTCGTCGCTCGTCGTCCGGCTCACCGTCTTCTCCCAGCTGACTGTGCCGCCGGCGTTTGCGCCAAACTCGCTCACGCCTGCGTTCACGTCGACAGCGCGCTTGACAGACTCCTCCTGGGTCGACTGCAGTAGAGTGATGCGTCCCGCGGGCGCGATGGCTTGAACTTGCGGCGCTGGGGCTCCGGGGACGGAGCTTCCAAACTCGAACTCGAGCGAGGCGGACACGATCCTTCGAGACTTCCGAGTTGTGTCGAGGTAGAAATCGTAGACAAGAAGCGTTGCGTTCTGCCCCGTCTCTTCGGAAAGAATGCCGTGGATGACATCTCGAGACTTGCAGCGGACTTCTATGATGCCTCGGCGCTCCGTCACGGTTTGTCGCTGGTATTTGTTGGTAGGGTCGTTGCGCGTGTGGTAGCCGCTGCCACGCTCGCCCGTCTTGTTCAGTCCAATGCTTATAGATGTGTCCTCGAGGTCCGAGTCATAGTCTGCGTCGACGAGCTCCTCATTGTCTATTTCGTCGTCTGAGATTTGATCGTTGTTGATCTCGGGATCCATGGCTGACTCAGTTGATTGCTTTGCAGCTACTTGTGTAGGTAATGAGTTGATCTTGGGCGAAACGAAGAACGCTGTCTACTTGGTGGTGTTGTAGGGGATTGCTAGGTAAAGATAGGGGGAGGATCGAGGTGTGGCACTCGTGTGAAGAACGCAGGTACATAAGAAACGCAACCCAAAATCCATCCCATCCTCTCACTTACCGTTGGGCTGACAAGGCATATTCGTGTCACTATTTCGTACGGACATGCATGTTGCATCACGAGGTTGTGGGTGAGATGGTAGTGTCGCGAATAGCGTCGGGTTGGATTGCTTAGCCAAGAGATGATCCCACCATCTTCGCTGTCTTCTCCATTAGGATTGCGGAAATGACTCGGACAAATCAACTCCGCCAGCCTTACGTTGTCTTGAAAAAGGAACCTCTATTCGCTGACACCTAGGTGCTTTCAGCTTCAGCGCCAAGACGGCTATAACAACTCACTTTCATACTGTTGCGGCTCAAGATAGTAGTTGTACGACTGCTCGAACAGTTGTCACTGCTCAGTTTCGCTCTATTGGCGGATATGGCTTCAACCTTGAGCAACTGTTTGCGGACATACAGGGATCAGGGGTCTCTAAACCTGCTTGTTTAGCGCCCACCTCTTCCTTCGTTCCACATGGAACGGCCCGGAGAAAAGCACAGTGTGCAGAAACGGTGAGGCTCTGCAGAAGACTTGCACAGCCCCTCTGTGGAAAGCAGAGCCATATCGGCTCAGCTGATGGATCGTCAGAAGCCTTTGCAGCATGCGCAAGCGACGCTGCAACATGTCGCCTGTACGGAGTCGTAGTAGTAGGAGGTATGCATGTCAGATCTTCGTGGGCTACTTCTGAGGTACTTGTAAGGCCCCCAGCTCGAGTGCCTGCATTGGCCTTCAGCCCTGCCTGGGTTTCACCAAGCGAGTGTGGGTTAGTTTCTGGAGGGGTTTGTCGTCGTCGTCGTGGGAAGTTTGTGGTGCGGCTCTCCTGCCTGTTGTTGTGTGTGTGTGTCTAGCAGAATCAGAATTCTTTTGGCCTCATCTTCCTTCGTACTCTTTGCTATTTGCTATCAACGCTGTCATCTTCGCTGTTCTGCCTCGTGGTGGATGCGGGTTAGAGCGCTGGTTCACTTAGTCGCTCGCGCAATTTTGAGAGGGGATATTCGGCTTCGTCTCTTTTCATGTTGATCCAGCCGTCGTTGAAGCTGATGATTTCCTGAATTGCATATACATGCACGATATAGCTCGAGCTGCTCCTATCGGATAGGTCGCCTGCGTACTTCTCCAGTTCCTCAGGATGTCGGACTCTGAGTCTTCGTCGTCCTCTAGCGGATCCGACTCGTCAAGGGCGGCATCGCCCGAGCCAGGAACTGTGCCAGAAGTTGAGAAAGAGCCAACTACAGAACCTACCACCACCGATGAGGGCCAGGAAAAGTCATCGACGGAAGAGAGTCCGTCCTCGAAGACAGAGGCCAATGAAAATGAGACTGAGACGAGCCCTCCTGAGGAGGAAATAGATCCAGTTGCTGAGCCCCTTCATGTCTCGTGGAAAAGCTCTGCCACGAATAACCCAGAGTCCATGGCTGCAGAGTAAGTGTCTCTATATCATGGCTCCTGAATGAGCGACTTCAGTCCTCAAGCGTTAACTCTTCTCTCAGCTTTGTGGTAGTCCATGGCATTTATGGAACTTGGGAAGAGGGAGGAACGCGGGGCGGGCTTGGTTCCGGCAGCAGTGAATGGGTCTATACCTACGCGCAAACCCGTGATCCATCGAGGATCCTCCGATTTGAGTACGAGCCGCTACAGCTCTTTTGTGGTCAACGGAGCCGTCAGGCTATTCGGAACAGTGCCATCAAGTTGCTGCGAGCGCTGGCTGCTCGGAGACGGCACGAAGATGCAGTTTGTTTACTCTTTAGAAGCCTCGTATAAGTCCCCGTCGTTGATCTTGCTAACTATGCTTCTAGAAACGGCTTATCATCTTTGTTGCTCATGATATCGGAGGGCTAGTAGTCAAAGATGTGAGTTTGATCTGTTTGCTTCGGTATGTATCGGAAGAAATAACAATGTGACAACTTACCCAGGCTCTGATTGCTGCAAACCTTCATATGGACATTACCTCTTGGCGAGACATTGCAGAAATGAGCCGTATCATGGTAAGATGTACTGCATCTGCCGTAGTTGAGAAGTACTGTCGTTCTAATACGGATACTTGCAGGTATTTCATGGCTGTCCTCATCGAAGCGTGGACCACTTCGACATGGAAGACAGACTATCCCGCTTCCTTTTTGCCGACTATGACCCAAGAATAGCAATTGTTCGACCTTCAGCATCGGCCGTTTCCGGATTTGCAGCTGCTGCGATGGAGATTAACGGCCTGTTTGCCGAATCCAAGATTCTTCTTCGCACCCGCGCAGTGAGCGTTCACCACACGGAAAGTGGACTCTCACACATAAATAAGGTAAAGCATGACCCAAGCGGAAAAATGAGAGACAAGCTATGCATGAGCACAAATATTCAAGCTGATTGCTTCAAAGGCATTCGACTTTTACAGTGCAACAATCGGGATACCCATGGAGAAGCGAATACCAGAGAGTAGCGATGAGTCCACCATCACTGATTGCCTCAACGACCTTTTGGAAGGTGAGATTAATCGAACTACATCCCTCGAAACCTTTTGGATGGTCACATAGCTAACGTGCGACTCTCACAGCTGTTGGTGCTCCGGTAAGCGCAGAACAGCTGCGATACGAGAGAGAGATTTTGGCTCTCGCTTCGCCCGTCTTCCCGCTACAGACTGGACAGAGTGACGATGAAACGTTCAAATACCCCCAGCCTATCGAGAACTGGCTTCAGCACCGTGGACCGCAGATGCTCTACCTGCATGGCACGAAACACGTCCGTGAGACGGCTGAGCAGCTCTTTTATACTCTGGAAGAGCAAGCTCTGAAGATTAAAAACTGTGTAGTGCTCTACTTCTCCTTCGACAGATACGATGTGAGGTGTGACTCTGTCAGAGACATGCTTGCCACGTTTCTAGCACAAATCTTGTGCTTTTATCCCTCTGTGGACGACCGTATCAAAACGACCTTTCTCAGATTCCATGAAGAGCGTGGATGGACAGAAGACGATCTCATCTACTGGTTTGAACGCTTCAGGTTCACCGAGAAAGTAGAACATGTCATGTTCGTCATCAACCATTTCGACGAATGTACCAAGGGTTCTCGGAAGCAGTTCATCGAAAACTTTGCCTATCTTGCAGAAGCGAGTGAGAACACTTGGAAAGTTGTCGTCACAAGCCATAAGCCTGACGCCCTTTCAGGGGAGCTCTACGGCCCTTGGTGTGTGAATGTCAACCTTGACGTTGAAGCAGGCGAGGAGAGCTTGGCCGACGTTGTCGGTAATGGTCCCAAGGACGACGTGGCACGATTGCTCAGAGCACGACCTGACCTTCTCTATGAGCCCAGTTTCATTGAGGAGGAACTGTACTACATTGAGCAATACGATCCGCTCGTCAAGCATGTTATCAGGGAGCAAGCAGCGGCGCGGCCAGGTTGGCCTAGTGAAGTCTCCGTCGAAACCATGCTGGAGTCCTTGGCGCTCGATGCCGAGGCGGCGGTTGATGACGACCGGAATCTGGAACAGCTGTTGGCTTGGGTCCTCAAGAATGCCTCTGAGCCTGATACCCTGCGACAGCTACTCTCGTGGATTCTCTACTCTGTACGGCCACTCACTGTCTGGGAGCTCGCAACTGTCCTGTATCTGGGCTCTGATGGCAAGGGCCATGTCGCTCCTGATGCAGAAGCAATAGACAGTCTCTTCTCCAAGATCAAACAATGGCTTGCCGGCATCGTCGTTGTGCAGCATAACGAGGTCAAGATCTGGCACCCACGGCTCAGAAACATTCTCATGGCCCTCAATGGCGAGAAACTTGCCGAGACTCAGTTCATCTGGGGTGACATTAAGAAGACGGCTCACTTCGACATTGCTAATTTCTGCCTTCGATACCTTTCTCAACCAGACGTGCAAAAGTACATCAGCGAGACTTTCCATGTCACGGGCTCAGATTCGGAGACCTTTGAGACGCCCACGTTTGCAGATCGGAGCAACTTGTGTTCCTACGCTCTCCAGGCTTGGACACATCACTTCGTTGCCAGCTCCCCCAAGCCGGAGCTGTCAAAGATCCTCTCCCAGTCCGCGTCTGCCGATGTAGCGAGCAGCTGGGCAAGGGGCTATTGGGCGCTCTCCAACCAGATCACGAGGAATCCTGTCTGTCTGGATACTCTGTTTCCCATCTTCGCCGGACTTGGCTTGGTTGATGTTGTTGAAGCGCGAGATGAGGCTGATACACGCCGCGGCCTGCTTGAGGCCGCCTCAAAGGGTCAATCTGAGGTCGTCCTTGCACTCGTCAAGGGGCTTGACATGGATGAATCAGCCCTCATGGATGTCATCAAAGCCGCTGCAGCCTACGGAGATGAGAACACGATGCTGGAAATGCTTGATCGCATCGTGGCGTTGAACCCTCACCCTGATACTTCTACTTGGCCTCCCATGCTGATTCACAGAGCAGCTTGGCTAGGACTAGAGCGCTTCGCGGAGCGCATTCTGGATTTGGGGTTTCCCACCGAGATTGATACCTCATGGACAGCCATTACCAAGATGACGCCGCTCTCACAGGCAGCTAGGAACAACCATGCTGGGGTAGTTCGTACTCTCCTCAGGCACAATGCGAGCGTGGAAACCCGCCACCGTTGGGACAGAACCGTGATCCATCATGTGGCCGGGCAAGGCCATGCGGAAATGGCCAGGATCCTAGTTGAAGAGGGCAACGTCGACATAGAGGCCAAAGACGAGGACGGCTTTACGACGCTTTACTTTGGATGCATATGGGGACATCACGACGTCGTCAAGCTCATGCTGGATTTGGGGGCAGATCCTCACATGGGCATCAAGATGGATGATCCGCCAGAGAAGTGGTCGCCTCTCGTCGCGGCCATTGACGACGGCTACGAGAAATGTGTCATGCTTCTTCTTGAAAAAGGAGCCAACCCCAATCTTCCAGGTCCCAGTAATTTGGGCACTGCTTTACGATATGCCGCGGTGAAAGGCCATCTTAACATTTGCAAGATGCTCATTGACTTCGGTGCAGATCCCAACAGTCCCTTGATCGAGCCTCCGATCCTCATTCAGATCATTACGGACTACGAGGCGAGCGAGAGGCAGTTGGAGATATTCGACTTCCTGCTTTCAAATAATGCCAATGTGAACGCAAAAGACGCCTCTGGAACGCCTGTGATAATCTTCGCTAGCACAAGCACCCAGAAAATGGAGTTTACTCAGCGGCTTCTCGACCACGGAGCAGACGTCAATCTTCTGGATTCAGAGAACCAGTCAGCCTTGTACATGGCAACACGCGACGGCGAATCAGACCTGGCCGAGCTGCTAGTAGAAAAGGGCGCCAACGTCAACGAGGTGACCACGGACAACTTGACTCCTTTGTATTATGCAGTCCCAAATTCCGACATCGTCAAGATACTGGTCGAAAAGGGGGCCGACCCAAACAGGAGCAAGAAAGGAGGCTTCACCTGCCTCATGTATGCTGCTTGGTTCAACCACAGCGAAACTGCAGAGCTGCTCCTGGAGCATGGCGCCGACATAGAAGAGACATACGAAGAAGAGGACTCCAACCAAGGGCGGACATCGCTATACTTTGCCATATCGGAATCCGCCACAGAGACGGCTCGAGTATTGGCAGAGCACGGAGCCAACCTCAAGCACGTTTCGACCGACGGTCTGCCCGTTATACACCACGCTGCTTTGATAGGTTCGCTTCCCGTTCTTCTGGAGTATCCATTGATGATTGACTTGAACCAACGTGACGCCGACGGATATGCGCCTCTCCACAAATATGACATATCAGAAAACACCGTCAGGCTCTTGGTCAATGCCGGAGCAGACATCAATCTCCAGGACACGAAAAGGGGTGATACTCCTCTCACGATAGCCGCCTACAACGGCATGCTAGAGCGTGTCAAGTACTTGTTGAAGCGCGGAGCAGACATTCACCTTGGCTCTCGGTGTGATGGCGCTGCTATTCATCAAGCCTGCCGATATTCGAAGCTTGAGGTTCTCAAGTATCTCGTCGAAAAGGGGGGGGCCAATGTGAATCAAGTCGTCACCTATGGAATCGCCGGAACTCCCCTTCAGGCGGCATGTCTCGCATACGACATCGGCGGCGACCGCCTCGTCGACGAGATGGTTGAGTTTCTGCTTGCTAATGGGGCAGACGTGACGGTAGAAGGCGGCCACAATGGCAATGCCCTCAATGCTGCGGCTTGCGCGGCAACACCGGCGATCATCAAGACATTCCTCGACAAGGGAGCACTTGTGGATGCCAGAGATCCGTTTGGCCGCATGCCGATCCATAGCGCTGCCCTCCACGGCATCGACAACTTTGGGGCAATTCTCGACGCCGGGGGCGACATCCAAGCAAAGGACTACACTGGAAGAACGGCGCTGCATTGGGCAGCGCAGGCGGGAAGGCTGCAGGTCGTCGAGAGGATCATGACGCTTCTGACAGATAAGAAGGCCGTTGACGAGCCAGATATCGACGGCTGGACGCCGCTATGCTGGGCGTCTCGCGGTGTGGGCACTTGGCTGAATCAGAGCCTCGCTGGTGAGCCGGAGGAGCAATTGAAGGTGATGAAACTCTTGCTTGAGAACGGAGCCAATCGCTTTGTGCGAGTGTCTGTTGGGAGAGAAAAGTGGACGCCTTTGAAGATTGCCCGATTCCACCATGCAACCGACGAGGTGATCGCGCTGCTCGAGAAGGGTCTTCGTCCCGCGGATGAAGAGGATAAAGAAGAGAACAAAAAGGCCGGCTCGGAAGAGGAGTCCGACGAGGGCAAGTCTAAGAAAGGGAATATTCGGGGATCAACATGCGATTGTTGCCGATGCGTGAGTTGTTTCCCACTTCTTCTTCGGTTCTTTGTTCTCTGTGAGCGTAATGGCTCGAATGTTTGCTGACCCTTTGGATACAGGACATTGTCGGCTTCTGCTATCACTGCAATGACTGCTTGGATTTCGATCTATGTTGGAAATGTCACGTTCATAGTGACTTGCTTCATCCCATTGATCACACGTATGAGGAACTGGGGCCGCAATTTAGGGAGACTGAAGATGATGATAAGCCGGAGGACGATGATGCGGCGTCGGAATCGTCAGACTCGACGACTTCAGACTCTGAGTGAGTGTCTCGGTGATGGATAAAGATCTGGATAGATGGATAGAGATATCATATTACTTGTAGTCTACCACCTGTGAGGTTGGACTGCCACTATCCCGGTGTCTTTGGGTAGTACCGTCTTGGCTATCGTGAATGAAGGATACCCTCGATCCAGCCTCTGTTGCCTTAGAAGGCTCAGTCCTGTCATGTGTCATAGATGAATGTCTCATTCCATATCCAACCAAACTGAGTGTTGTCTCAAACCTACGCAGCATGTCTCGGATATCCTCCGCAGGCTTGTTCAACTTTGCACTCCTCGTCGAAAGCTTTTTACCCCCAACCTCGGCACTCGCCGAGTCTACAACTCTCAGCTGTATAATGGCCCAATCATCAACCAGGCGCTCCGCCGAAGACGCAGGCCAACTGTTACAATGGCTGTTACTGACCGATCTGTATGAGGGGAAGAGGCGGTATTATAGCGCATTACCTGTCATTACCATCAATGATTGCATCGCCAACACTTCGTCTGGGCCGTGACACAACTTCTCAATATGGCCAAGCAGAAGAGAGTGAAATATCATATCGAATCAGGCCAATCACCTTGTCGAGGATTGAGAGTGTGCACGGTTTCACAACCGTCCTCTACTGACTCTCTTTCTACGTAAATACCTCGTCTTTCTCCTTACTCAGACTTCCAGTAACATGATCTATTACGTTCAATCCATCAATCGCATGGCGCCTGTAGCTAATGCCCGGATTGCCACGACTAGTGTCTATCTCAGCCTAGGTCTTGCATTTTGCAGTAGTTTCTGTTTTCCCATCAAGACCTCTGAGACAAGAATATCCCGACGAGTCTTTGGAACCTATCGGGCAGTCACTGTCAACGTTGTGCCGTGCCAACCCTGGCGTTTAGCCGCTCCCTCGGCGGCTATTCTTCCCTTGGACATTTCCCATTTGCCAACGTCTATCCCTTGCCTATCCCGGACTTCTCCGCCACTGCCTTGGAAGCCTAGCTATTGTCAAAACGATGCTAGTTGTATGAGTGATAATGATCATCGGCGGAAGAGGATATCGCTTCCCACGAACGAGATCTGGCTAGTACAAGCAAAGTGGCTTAACTGATTGGTATACAAGCCGTGCTCGACGATGAGTTACACAGCTGAACTCTGGCAGTCCCTCGGCCAATTGCCGCTTCCAGTCTGCCTAGATGGCCATCAGTCTGGTTCAAGATGCGGCGAAGCGTAGCCCTTGCGTCGCTTCTCCAAGTGCTCTCCGGCAAGGGGGTGGGACGAGGCGTTTATATGAGCGACTGTTCGCTCTACTTCTGGGTGAAAAGGAGGAATCAAGTTGAATAGTTGGATGTATGTTTGCTTTCGCCGTTGAATCGTTTGCATACCTCTTTCGTCTTTTGCATCTTGACCTCTAGCAAATACCTCATCATGGGCAGCATCGGCCACGGCGAAAACTATGTCCTTGGTAGGAGCTTTCTCGAGAGTGTGAGGTGAGATAAAGCCAACTCCTTCTCGCGTAAAGAGAAGATCGGCATTTAAGCGACGCTTGATTGACGTGATATCAGACTCGATGCTCAACACTTTTTGTTCCAACTTCAAAATGGCTACACCATCGACCCCCGAATCCCTATCGGCCCGGATTCCAAGATCGCAGAGATGGGCACAGGAACCGGGTTAGTATAGTCATTGAGAGATGCCGTCTGGCCGTTTCTGCTCTTCTGACTGGATGATGTGACAGTATCTGGCTGCTCGATGTATCTTCCCAGGTCCCTTCAACCGTTCAACTGAACGGCTTCGACATTTCAGACGACCAGTTCCCCCACCAGTCCACCCTACCGAGCAACGTGACCTTGAGCATTATGGACGCTTTCGCAGAAGTCCCCGAGGAGCACCGTGGCAAATACGACCTTGTGCACATGAGGCTTTGGTGTGGCATCGTTCAGGGGGGAGATCCGTCTGCCTTAATCAGACATGCGATCCAATTGCTGAGTATGTGCACCCTTCTTGGAATTTAGTACAGTTTCCGCATTCTTCTGCCGGCATATGCTAATGTATGGTTAAAAAGGGCCCGGCGGTTACCTGCAGTGGGAGGACTTCAATCCCAGCCCACAACAAATGGTCGTGAAAGGCGCCGACATCGAGGTCCTGTATTCATACTTTCACCGAATGCTCAAAGCATTTGGCATCGATCAGTCGTAAGTTATTCCTTGTGCTCCTAATCTACAAAAAATGACTCATAAAGAGTGTCCAGGTGGCTCGCAGACCTCCCCAGCTATGCAAAGCAGGCCGGTCTCGATGTGGTCCAGTTCAAGATGGGACCCTTTTCACAATCCTGTATTCCGCTTGCCACCAAAACATGCCTCATGCTTCACAATGGGGTTTTTGATGCTGCATACAAGGCCGATCTCCCGTTCCTGCCTGCTCGTGAGGAGGCCGATAACATGGTGGCTGCGGCCATCGATGCTGTAAAGAACGGAGCATCATATCACTCCACTATCCTGACTTTGTTGGCGCAGAAGCCTCTTTCTTCATAACATGATACGCTAGAAGGATCGTGGTCATGGTTGGGGCTTTGCCGTAGGCTCTTGCATTCGTACCTCTACACGTACAGTAAGACGCCCCAATTACCGACTTGTCAATGTCAAGCTATGCTGGATGCGTTTATCATTCAAAGACGGCTTTTGAAAAACACAAGGTTTAGAATCCTACAAGATATCATGAGATTATATGCTGCAAGTTCTCTAAAAGGGTATATTTTTAGAAGGAGACTACGGAAGCAGCGAAGCCCCTATCCGACGGTCCGATGTGGGATGGGACTGCTTTGACAGCAACCCTGAACTGTTTCGAAACAGAACACTTGTCCCACAGAATGAGACTTCAGTTCAGTTATCGCAACGTGATAGACCTCAATCTGATTGGACGTACAATTGCCGACTTAGTTATCCGTATATGCAGCTGACTGTGGAGTGCAGATGGACTGCCCGTGGCTTCGTTCGAAGCGTTGAAATTTGCACCAGATACGGGGCATTTGGTCCGCGTAGAGATCTCAGGTATAGACTATATGCAATGCAAGACAAATCAAATCCTGGTTATTTTCCTACGGATGATTAGAATATGTGCATGCGCACGTATATAGTCTCACAGGAGCAACACCCACTTGCTTTTATACTCAACCTTCCGTACGGATCTTTTCGTACTACTAGTAACTCTATCTAGATAGTGTCGGCTCTTTTGGGCAAACGTAAATTTCCTAGATAGGCATAAATGATCGTCTGGAGACCGCCTCCCTGTTAGATATAGATTGGAAGAACTCGTAAAGGGGAGGGAAAACGGCCCGTAAGTCAGGGGAAACTCAACTGATATACGGCAGTAATTGGGCGCGACTTTAGAATAGACAACTTTTCCGGAACACAGCGCGGAAAAGCATGTCAGCGCGGAAAAGCGTTGCGAAATCTGCTGTTCGTGTTTCAAAAGTTCTACCAAGCGCTCGATCGAGGCTTAACATAGACTGCCGAGCGCCGAGGTCCCACATACAGGATTGATATGTGACTTCCGAGAAGTGATAGGAATCAACGAACCGCCAGTTCTCAGCCACAACTCACAGTTTCTGACACGGAAGTAAAGACGGCACTTGCTACAAGTGAAGTTGGCCGAAGGATTGCCAAGAAATCAATTATGCTTAACGCGGGCAAAGAGACTTCGTATAAGCAGCCTCGGACTTGGCCGTTAAGCTTATAAGCTTACCTACCTTGACGGACCTCTCGAAGCGATCCAGGACTTCTATTTCAGTATCCGTAGGATTTTCCGATTACTGTTTCTTTCTTTGAAGATAGTGAACCCTTCTATGGTCCTGTAATCTGTTCCACAGTTAGTCCTTCCCAAAGTCCGCTGCCACAACAACTACCGCGGCCAGCGGGTATCTGTTTATTAATCGCGTATGGATAATGCCCCCTGATGGGATAGTAGCATCTCCCTTTTTCACTAATGATTAAAGTTGGCCGGACCAGTCCTGCTTGTATGCAGCCACGGTAGATCATGGCGTTTTATCGGCGGGACTACTAGCTTGGTTGTGATGAGTTTCGCTTGAGGACCCCCGTTCTACTATCTGCCTTGTGATGAAACTGGGAGACACTGATCGCCGACATCCTGAGGATATATAAGGGCGGCCGCTTCTCACAGTCTAGTCTCTTGATACTTCTATAAGTCAGCAGTTAACACAGACAATTCGTTCATCTGTAATCACAATGAAGCAATCTCAATTCTCCCTCCGAGCTGCCGCTCTTTGCGGCCTGGCTGCCCTCCAAGGCGCCACAGCCCATCTTGCCGCTTACACTCCCGGCATGTACTGCCCCGAGGTACGACTTCTCCTTCTCAATCCTACAACTTAAACATGTCCAGCATCAAAATCGCTAAAGACATGATGATATAGAACACTTACAAGGGCCCCCTCACCAACTTCACCGACCCCAACCACGTCGTCTACGACCCCCTCTACAACCTCTCCAAGGACAGCTGGTTCCTCTCCAAGGGCCGCAACTGCTGGCTTGCGCCGCCCACCGGCGTCTGGGAGATCCAGGCCAACTCCGCCATCCAAGTCCCCTGGGCCAACCAGCAGAACTCGCACGGCTACTACGCCGACGGCAAGGAGCAGAACGAGCGGCCCCAGCCCTTCTCCGTCACCAACCCGGCCGTCGTCGCCGCCGGCCTCGTCTCCAGCTCCGGAGGCATCAACAGCCCCAACCTGCACGCCGGCAACAAGTCGACTGCCGCTGGCACTGCCGTTGCCATTGCCTACAAGTCCAACATTTACGACGTCAAGATGGAGGACTTTGTCGTCTTCACTACGGCTCCTCAGACTCCCTTTGAGCGGCTGGTGACTTACAGCATTCCCAACCTGAAGGCCTGCAACGAGTGCCTCTGCGCTACTGTGTAGGTCTTGAGATGTCCACGCGATACAATAACACAAGGTCACTAACAACTTCATCCAGCTGGATCCCTGATGGCTACGGCCAGCAGAACATGTACATGGCCCCCCACAAGTGCAAGATCATCAACCCCAACGGCGGCCAGCAGCCCAAGACTCCCTCTCTGGTTCCCGGCCCCAATGTCAGGGGGCCCAAGCAGATGATTGCGGCTTTCCAGGCCGAGGGAAACAATGTCCAGTGGAAGGGTGGTCAGCAGGTGCCCACTTACACCTCTCGCATGGGCTTCACGGCTGGTGCCCAGACCGACATCTTCTGAGAGCTTGCATGTTATGGGGTATGTACGCTATTCTAGCGGAGTGCCCGAGCCTTATCATACCTTAGCTTGCATTCACAGTACAAACTGTCTATAGTTGCTCCATTGATAGGGGAGCAATGTACATACGCTTGTCTTTCTTCCTATACATAAGTTCCGCCCGCGCATTCTGGCGCAGTTAATACACGCATGGATCGTATTTCCACACCAGAGTTCATCAATCGTACCTAGTATTGCCAGATCTCACCGTGACGCCCGGAAGCTGGCCGTAGAGTGTTGACAAGAACAGGTGGAAAACGTCCCTTTGAGCTTGCTGGAGAGCTCAGCAGTAGGCCTGTCGCCTAAAGAAGCTTCTTTTACCATGTACTTGCCTGAATTCTGAAGCTTACCAACGGCATTGATTCGGGCAGTCGTCTGGCTTCGAATAGCATACTCAGGGTCATTGAATTGCGTATTTCGTACTCGTTCTCCGTGCTGTCTCGGCCAGACTGGTGTCTCTACCGCAACTCAAAGTGATTCACTGTCGTATGTCAATCCACTTCAACGTGGATAATGCATGATGCATATTTTGACTCAATAGAGCTACCACAAAATACTAAAATGGCTGTACTTGATACATGGTTTCCTTGGTATGATTGATGGCTTGTAAGTCGGCTTAAGCGCTGTGGTGTTGTTCAGCGCGACAAGTCTCAGCCAAAAAAATTCGCTCATGGATTCTCATGCAAGTCGCTCTCCGCCATGAATTACAATCAAATATCTCAAATCAAATTGAGAGACTCACTCATTCCTCACACATTTTGAAGATTTCCCCGTCTTTGAGTTCATGTCCTTCGATCATTTGCTTTATGTTGCTAAAAATGGAAGCAAGAGAAAGCGCACGAGACCCCTGCCAAGATTACATCAGACTTCCCTTATCGATAACGACCGCCGGCCAGCTTGTCCTCAACATCAAACAAATAAACTGCTGCCAACCTTCTCTTCACACCCGCATCACAAGAGCACAATGCTTCACGCCATATCATGTCGCAATTCCTCTCCATCATAGGGTGGTCTTTCCTCCCCAACGTAAGCATATCTCCCTTTGTCTCTACAAAACCAACAACCGCGTCTCCTCTATATTGACCAATCCAACCGCCCACGAGTCCAAGTCAAGTCAAGTTCAAGTCAAACTAACCTCAAGCTCTTTCAAACTTCCCATAGATTGCCACTTCCTGGATCCAGACCATCTACTATGGCCTCACCATCCGCGCCGGCGACCCCCGCCCGCAGCCCGGCAGCCCGCGCTTCAACCACCACCGCCGCAACATCCACATCCTCGTCATAGCAGTCTACCTCGCCTACACAATCTACGAGGCCGACTACGACCTCCGCCGCCAGGGCTCCTTCTACACGGACCTGGGCGTGCCCTTCTCCGCCTCCGACCGCGACGTCAAGTCCCGCTTCCGCCGCCTCGCCGCGCTGCACCACCCCGACAAGACGGGCGCCGACGCCGCCGACTCGGCCGCCTACTTCATCCACCTCAAGGCCGCCAGCGACACGCTGCAGGACGCCGCCAAGCGCTTCGCCTACGAGCGCTTCGGGCCCGAGACGGTCGTGTGGCAAAAGTGCGTCACCATCAAGGACTACGTCTCGAGGGGCGTCTTCTCCGGCATCCTGCCGCACTACGCCGTCGCCGCGGGGTCCATCTACGTCTTGGGCCTGCTGGGGTACATGGACTTTGGCAAGTTCTACCGCTGGCTGATTCTGCTGAGCCTCTGCGTCTTTGAGATCCAGGCGGTCACACGGCCGAGGTTCCCGTCGTTGTTGGAGGGCCTCAACTTCGTTTTTGCTGCTACGGCGTCTCACCCGCCGTATCTGCCGTTTCAGCTCATCTCTCTTGCGCGGAAACTCACAATTACTATCTACATCGCTTTGTCGCAAATCGGCCCGCTGTTGACGATGGACGCGTCACCTTCTAGGCGGTCTGCGGATGACCAGAACGAGCTGCTTCTCCAGGGCTTGAACCGCCTGGAGACCATCACCGGCCAGTTTGACGCCGACTCGGCTCGTCTGATGGACATGGAAATGGCACCCTTCAAGGGAGATGCAGAGGCTACGGCCAATCTACAGGGGAAGATGAGAGAGTGGTTGATCCAGAATACGATTCGTGCGGATCCGATGGTGCGTGATGCCCTGGGCACTTCGCTGAGAAAGCGGCGAGTTGATGTTCCTGCTGGCGCCAAGGGCAATCGATAGATGGATGGGAATAGATATATAGGAAATGGTTTGCATGCCTAGCGTAGCATATAGTAAATAAAGTTCTATTTCTGAATGAGGCCAAACGACCCGTGCCTGGTGGCTGGCTTTAACATATCGAACTCCGAGTCGATATCTGATGCCTACCTTAACATCTAGTATCCAAAAGAGCCATTACCCATATATAAACGAAATATCCGTACAGAGTTGGTTTTCCACACTTGATCATCTCAGTCATGTCCAAACTTCTAATAAAGCCAAAATGCCTACAACCGTTGCGCACCCCGAGTCTCAATCGGAATCAGACACATGGCCACAAACGCCGCCAAGATCAAAACGGCAGACATGTATATAGGCGTAGTCGACCCGTCTCCAGGAATGTTCGCCGCCAGAACCGGCGCCATCAAGCCCGTCAGTCGATTGAGAAAACTCGCCACGCCTGTGCCCGCGCCTCTAACGGGGGCAGGGAAGATCTCGGGCGTAAAAGCATACAGGACGCCGTACATGATGTTCTGGGCGAAAGCTTCGATGCAGGAGAAGATGAGCTGGGCGGTTGGCGTGGTGCCGTATGCTGCAAAGACGAAGAGAAAAACTGCTGAGACGACGGTGGAGCTGGCTAGCGTTCCGCGACGGCCGAGGAAGGGAGATGGGTGGTCGACGAGGTAGGCGGCCAGGAGACTGCCGGGGACGCCCATGATGGATGTGATGGCGTAGTTGCGGTATGTGACGCCGGATATCGTCGACGTCTCGGACTGCATTGCGTCGCTGCCCGAATCGGAGTCGTGATGAGAAAGGTACTGGGGCAGAAAGGCGTTGAACAGCGGGTATCCCATTCCTATCGTTGCCCAACAGAACCACACTAGAGAGGTTGCAAGACCCAGAGTCTTGGTCTGGAACAGCGGCCGCAGTCGATCGCCCGAGAACGCCTTGAGCTTCTCCTTCAGGACATTAGAGCGTGGTGTCGAAGACACGGAATACCGACGAGCAACATGACTGGACTGCTCCGCATCTTCCGCCGCAACCAGATCGAGAATCTCTGAGGTGAGCCACGTCTTGGCGCCGTTCCGAGAGGCGATGCCGTGAACGACAGCAACCGCTTCATGCTGGCGGCCTTGGTTAAGGAGGAACTTGGGTGACTCGAACATGTGGAAGAGAAAGAAGCGAATGCAGAACATGGCAAAGGTGATGATGCCAATAGTCAGAATAAAGTAGCGCCAGCCAATGTCGACGGGCCACTGGGCGATGAAGAACCAGGCCACAAGCGAAGATACCAGCTGGCCGATGGGCCACCACACGGACAGCAGCGTCAGCAGCGAGCTGGAGGCGTCTGGCAGAAACTCGAGGAACAAGGCGCCATCAACTGGGAGATTTCCACCAACGCCGAATCCGAATGCTGCGTAGAGGAAGCACACGGCCCCCCAGCTTTTGCCGTACGCGGCTAAGATGCCAAAGACGCTCGTGATAAGTAGCGTCATGTTGAAAGCGATCCGGCGGCCAAAGAGGTCGGATCCGATTCCCCAGAGGAAACTGCCCAAGGAGAGGCCGATGAAGCAGGAGCTCGTGGTATACCTCACAGTCTTTTCTGGTATGTCAAACTCGGCTGACAGTGATGGCAAGGTCAGTGAGACGCCCTATGCTGCTTGTTAGCATCATATAAGGGGATTCATCAACGAGTTATTTCGGCACACCTGTAACCATAGACTGTATGGCATGTTAGTTCAATTAATTGTACCAAGAAAGCTGAGGAGATGGGGTTTCCCTTACTTGTCAGCAAACCACCCGAAGCCACACAGTATAAAGAGCTGCCAGTTATAGCGCCCCATGCCAATGTCTTGGATGGCCTTGTTGATGAGCTTCGATTTGACTATTTGTCGACTTAGTCGCAGTTCGCTTCCACGAGCGTCAGAGCCTCTTTCACAACGACTCACTTTCATAATCCGTCCATTTCCCTCTCTTGCCTTGCCTCATCTCTGCCCTCAGCCCCTCGATGGTGTACTCGGCGGCATTCATCAGCAGCATGCCCTCCCCCTGGTCGTCCTTTGCCGAGTTCACCTCGTCATCGTCGTCCCCTGCGCCGTCGTCCTGCGATTCAAACTCGACCCTGCCAACCCGCGCCGAGTGGCTGTGAAGATGGGCGTCTTCCAAAGAAACCAGGACTCCATCATAGTCGTCCACCGACTCCGTGCGCCCGAGTCCGGCCAGCCATGAGATGACATGCATGCTGAGAAGCAACAGCCGCGCCGGCGCAACCGAAGTGAAGAAACGCCAAAAAGATCAAACAAGGTTATATCATCAAAACGAGATTCAGCTGTCTGTTATAAGGGTATCCATGAGGTTGAAAAGGAAAGCAGAAGAAGATGATCGTGGATGGTCGGAAGTCGGCTGAGATAATAGCTGCCCAGAATGGTGGCTGATGTGGAATCAAGTTGCCGTTCTGACGTCTGGTTAGGTAAGCCGACGCAAGGGATGGGACGGTTGTCTCAAGAAGGGCGGAGTCTGCAAACGGCGGCAAAGAGACGTCGTGATCGCATCAAAGGCCGTCTGATGAGGCACGTGTTGTCTGACTGTAGTATACGGCAGACCTGACGTTGTGCAGAGAGGAGAAGGGGCTCGAAAAGAGAAGTGGAATACGGCCAGATTGGGGTTGCCGGGATCGACACCAGATGACAGGCAAGTCATTAGGGAGCATCAGAGTGAAGGGTGACGCCCCCATGCGCCCAATCATAGGGGGCTTCAGCGCTACTTTAGTCAAGGGTGAGGGTCAATGGCCAAGATGCACCCGTGGACCCTTCTATTGGGAGGGGCGCAACGCTATTCAAGGGCCCGTAAGCGGAGGTGCGTCACACGGGATCTCAAGATGGCCATGGCTGATGGCCGCATACTAGAAGCTTAGGAGCCTTGGTGTAGCCACAGACCCAAGGAAGCACAATGGAGAGGCGAGGCGCGTTTGTAGTGCGCCTTCATACTTGAGTAGACATCGTTCTTTGCCTAACGTACGAAGGAGAGGGCAAGATCCTTGCATCCCTTGCCAATATCGCAACTTTTCCGACCAGAGGTATCGTAACAAATCACATCGAATCATCAATCAAATCAGCATACCGTTCAGCCTACCAACTATGGTGGCAGCCGCGATTTCCGAAATCACGAGCGTCGTCGTGTCCAGCTAGGCACCAGCCTGCTGTGCCATAGACTCATGGTAGAAACCTCCCAACTCCAACGGAAAGAACAGAAAGCATGGCCGTCGAGGGCCGACTTGACCAGTCAAGCATCCACGGGCGCGTCGTACTAGTCGTCGTCTTCATCTTCATCGCTGGTCGCTTCGATATTGGACTTGTCCGACTTGGACTTCTTCGGGGCTTTGGGCACTGTAGGCTCTTCGATATCCATCTCGTCGGGATCGTCGACGTCCTGACCCATCGCCCGCAACGCCGCGTTGATACCGGGAGCTGCCTTTATCAGCGCAAGGTATTGCTCGACAGAGAGGGAGATGCCCTTTGCGCAAGCGTCAGTATCGAGTCAAGAGTAATCCGTCGTCGGGTCTGCCATTGGGCGCAATGCAAGCGCAACCATACCTTCTTGCCAGGGAGCATCTTTCCATCCTTTTCGTAGTACTCGCGAATGTTGACGAGGCACATCTTCTTGAATTGGGAGACTCCCACGCGTCGCTTGTTGGACAACTGCGCAAAGCCGTCAGTAAGCGAAGCGCGCAAGACCCGTGGCATCAGCGGCGAAAGCGCACCTCCCAGTATGGATTGCCCTCGTCATCCTTGCCGTCCGGCGCACTGGCAGCGGCGGCGCTCTTGTTCTTCTTTGCGACGGAGGCGTGGGGGACGTCGTCGTCGCTGTCGTCGCCCGCTCGTCGCTTCTTGGTGGAGGGAGGCATCTTGCGTCTGTGGAGGGCGGATAGGCGGTGGTGTGTCTTTCAAGTCAATAAGATCAGAATCGCAATAACGTGAAGCTCTCGGGATATTTTTTTGCGTTTGCGATAAAGTGATGCTCGTTGCGGCGCGTGGAGCTTCGAAAGTGGGCTGCCAGACGCGTCAGGGCCGATTAAGTGGTGTTTTACCAGAGCTTCAGGCGGGGGGATCGGAGGGACGGTCACGCCAGCTCACGTGCAGTGTTTCATGCATGGAAGCTGGGGGAGGACAATTGCGGGAGTGAGGATGCTTCACTTGAGAACAGTGTAACTAGTACATGTTACCGTTGTAAATACATAGAGAATCAAGAAAGAGATGAGAATTGAAAGAGAAACAGAACAAAACCACTGCTTTCCAACTCCTCAACCCTTCAACCTTCACAGCCTCCGTGTTTGAGCATCGGCGCCAAGGGCAGCCCGGTGCAGCTGTGGAGGCCGCAGCTCCAAATATAGAGGCGCGAGGCCGCTGCAACTGCACCGCTGACCCGCATTTGTCCCCTAAAAAAGGAGAATTGTGGGAGGCAGCCTCACCAGAGGGTCCCAGTAATTTGATGTCCGCGATCCGTCCATTCCATCCAGTCTCAACTCTCGCGATCCATTGATACCATCTCAACCCCATTCCTTGCCACAGCGTACAGCCGCTGCGCCCTGCCATTCTCTGTCTCCTCAGCCTTCCCGCCTCTCCGCCTTGATCCCTCCAGAACCAGCAGCATTGGGCTCTGCTTGACATGTTGCCCCCCTCTCCCCGGCCTCACGAGACGCTGATAGTGTAGAGAAATCGGCTGTTGGCGTCAAGCTACCAACAAGCTCTGCTCTGCTCTGCCCGACCCCAATGAGCTCAATCGCAACCGTTCCTGCGCAGCGTCGCGATGATTCCGAGCTGGCCTCGGTCGAACCGCCCAGCCGTGCCGGACCAGGCGGAAACGACGTCGCGCTCGAGGATTACGCCAGCAGTAAGACGAACGGTCATCATGCCACCAAGAGCCCACAATGCGACTCCAAGTCATTAGGGGCCGACGACACAAAGGCAGCGCAATTGCCATCCGGGTCCAGCCTCGCCTCCCAAGCGATACAGTTCTTTGCGACCGCAACGCCAGCAACTCTCGCAGGCCTCGGTGTCGGAATTTCGGCGGTGACATATGCTGTCCTGGGGCGGCTCGGTCTCGTGCTGATAGGGGCGTTCGGCGGTGTCGTCTCCTTTATCATCTGGGAGTCGAAGAACCCTGAGCTGGCAAAGGCGCTTCGCGGTGAGGATGGCCCGCGGGTGCTGGACAGGGTCTGGACAGACTTGACAGCTGTCAGAGCTCTGGAGAAGCAGGACGAGGACGACGACGACGACGCGAATCGCATGCGAGGCTTCGATGACTTTCGTCCGGAGACGAGAGAGGCGCTCAGCGGCCTTGTCGACTCAATTGTCCAAAACTACATCAAGTGGTGGTACACTCCTCTGGTGCCTTCCGACCACGCCTTTCCCCTTTCCTGTCGCAAGACCATCACGTCCTATCTGCTGGCGATATCGAACCGCATGTGTCGCAAGCGGCCGGCCGACGCCTTTCTCGACCTCCTGACCAACTCGACATCCATGATCATCGTCTTCCTCTCAGAACTCGCCACCGCCTTCTCCGAACTACCCCCCGACACGAACATGAGCGCCGCCGATACTATATACAACTACCTGGCGGAGAACCCGGACTCACGCCTCGCCAACCTGCTCAATAAGAGACAGCAGGCGACCAAGTTCAAGATGGTGTCTGAAGACTTGCTCGCATTCCTCGACAAGAGCGCCTACAACTGCGATCCTGCACGCATCTTCCTGCGAGAGATTCTAGCCAACTCGGTGCTCGAGCAGACCCTGCAGCAATGCAGCAGAGCCGAGTGGATCAACGGGTGGATCGTATACCTCTTGGAGGCGGGAGAGCCCAACTTGAATCAAGCAATAGACGTCGGCATGCAGACCGGCCGCGACGTTGCCAACAATGTCTTTGCCGATCTGGACGGCAATGTTGGCAATATCGGCATCGCAAAGCCTCGACGCGGTAGCAACGACCAAGGCCAGGCTCGACGGAAAGAGTCTACTCACAAGAAGAAGCTGAGTAAGGCTGACGAGGAACTGGAAGAGGCCATGGAGGAAATGAAGAGAATGAACGCCATGATCGCCGAGGATAACGAACGACGAAATCGAACATCAACATTGACGGAGGCGTCCGAGCGCTCAAAGCAGAGCATGGACTTGACGACGGGCGGCGATGGGGAAGTGCAGAAGAGCGGCAATGCAGCCGAAGCACTGTCGCCGACTTCCAACCGGTACTCGCCTCGCGGGGCGTCTGTAGATGGCGTGTCGAGCAAAAGCGACACGATATACACTCCGCATACGCCGCGATCTACCGGTTCCGCCAGCCAAGCCTCGTCTCCGCAGGAGAACAAGGACCAGACGTTTACGAGCTTTGACCAAATCGTCCACCCAGGCCAACACCAACAACACGACAGCGATGAGGAGGCGCCGCGAAAGGAGCCCCTTACTCTACACAACGCCTCCTTCACACTACATGACGATGGCTCAGGGGACATGGGCAAAATCAAAAACAAACCGAACACAGACTATTTGATCCAGGTTGAGCCATCGTCCTCTCACTACCCCGGTTGGATGATTGTCAGGCGATACTCCGACTTTGAGACGCTTCACGAGATTTTGAGGCGCATTGCTGCCGTGTCGGGAGCTACCGCGTTCATGGAACTGCACAAGGAGCTGCCCAGCTGGAAGATCCACACCAGGGAGTCTCTCCGCGGTGAACTGGAGAGATACTTGCGGGATGCTTGCTGGTATCAGGCGCTGGCGGAAAGCGAGGGCATGAAGCGATTTCTCGAAAAGTCCCAGGGCCACACGCACGGCAACTCAAAGTCCTTTGGCTGGGAAACAATGGGCAAGAACATGCTCGAGGTGCTGTCCATCGGCCCCAAGGGTGCCATGGAAGGCGGTAAGAGTCTCGTCGGAGGCGTTAGCGGCGTCTTTGGCAATCTGCCGCTCTTGAGTCGCAAGTCGACCAGTCAGTCTGTCGGCGACGCTGGCGGCCCTAATGCGAACCGTTTGTCCATCTCATCCAACCCAGCAAACCGGGTCGAAAGCATTGCAAGATCGCCCGCGAGGTCGGAGCGTGCCAGTCTCGACAGCCAGAGGTCGTCGGTGATTGCTACGCAGCCGGGCAGGGTGGCGCCTATGGAGCGGATGCTCAGCTTCACGTCTCCCAACACCAGCGAGACGGACCTGCGCCTGGGCCAGAGAGGTCGGGTGGACTCCATCTCTACTTCGGTAAGCGCTCGGCCGAGCAGGGAGCACAGCAGAACATCCAGCTTGGCCGCGCTCCGGTCACCGTCGTCGATTAGCCTCGACTTCACCAAGCTCCCGCCGCCCCCCGACGAGATTAGCGATGATTACGAACTGGGCCACGACTTTGAACCCAAGTCGCGCAGGAAGGACGGCAGCATCATGGAGGATCCCAGCCGCAACAACAGCTCGCAGGCCCTGAACGGATCGGCCTCCGCACCGGCGTTATCCGGGAAGAAGGCCCAGACCCAGACCCAGGCCCCGGCCAAACCCGCGCGCCAGTACACGCAGCTAAGCGAGGCGGAAACCCGGGTGGCTGTCGAGCTGATCTTTGCCGTCATCAACGAAATGTACACGCTGTCGTCGGCATGGAACATCCGGCGCACGCTCCTTGCGGCGGCCAAGTCGTTCCTGTTGCGCCCCGGCAACCCCTCGCTCCTGACGGTGCAGAACCTCATCCAGTCGTCCGTGATCGACGCCAACACGTCGGACGCAGGCATCGCTTCCCTCCTGCGCAAGGTGCGGGAGAACACCATGCCCACGGAACAGGAGCAGGCGTTGTGGCCCGCGGAGCCGACGGAGGAGGAGAAGAAGCAGCTGGCCGTCAAGGCGCGCAAGCTGCTCATCCAGAGCGGCGTGCCAGCGGCGCTGATGGGCGTCATGGGACAGTCGGCCACCGGAGAGGCCCTGGGACGGGTGTTTGACTGCCTGCAGATTGAGGAGATTGCCCGGGGGCTCATATTTGGCCTGATACTGCAGGCAGTGAGGATTCTTACGCACTGATGATGGCCCAGAATGATGACAGTGATGTTCACGCGCGCAACGGTTTAATGCGAGGCTCGGACCTTGACGACCCGAGTACTGTTAATTAGCTACTACTACATTGGGTATTACTACCTTGATGGGAACGACTCACGGCGACGGGGGATAGGAGGCTTAGATGTTATAACGCGGCATATGAAAGCTCTGCTACGAGTGACCGGGAAGGGATTCCGGCGCTTTTTCTTCTTTTGTTTTTTTTGTTCCATCAAACGGGGCGGGAAGAGAACATGATACCTCGTTGCTTTTTTTAATTCATGAGTTAGATGGGTGTTTTGACGCTTTCTTTATTGATGAGATGTGCATCCCTCGTTGTTCTTTTCTTCGACGGGTAGACGATGTGCTACGAGACGGCCAAACCAGACTTGTTCACCGGCGTCATCCGCCACTCATGCCATCATCCCCTTCTACTCAATTTTCTTCTTCTCGTTCTTTGTCCCCGCGAAACCAGTACAAGAAAAAAGAAAGAAGGGGGGAAAGGAAAAGAAAGAAAGCCCAGGGGAACCTAGTCCGTATCACAAACAAGATGTGATTAACCCTGCAGGCACTTCCCATGGAGGAAGTGTGCAACGCTCGGGTCTCGGAATGCAACTCCAGCATCCCCGACTGATAGAGAGAAAACTCAAGGGAATAAGAAGGAACTTGGCAGCCGGCGAGGGCTTTCATGCTTGGCACTCCATGCTTGGCACTTTGCACATGGAAGAATCGGTATTCGGGGGATCGTATGGGGTCATGTCCGCGGATCGGCAATGCTGAAAATACGTTTGTCTCCGTTGAGATTTGGGTCTTCTTGTTTTTTTTCCCCCCTTCTTATTGTTATCATCATTCTCCTTTTACTCTGCATATCCAATATCCGGCGGTCCGTCTGGGGGGTCTACAAAAGCATGAACATTGCAAAGTGACGATCGAAATGAAAGTCAAGGCAGCATCAACTGCATATCTCCATCAACCCACATCGGCCAGGGACCATGACTCTCTCTCTCTCTCTTCCCCCTCTCGTCCTGCTTACTTATATGCACCACTTCTGTCTACATGTACGAAGTATGTATCCAAAGGGTGTCCTTTTTCCATCTACCAAGGTGCCAAGCCGCATGTAAGTGATGGTGCTAAGCAGGGGAAAGCCAGTACTAGTCCTTGTGGCCGGTGTCAAATTTCTCGTGGCTTGCTGCATTATCATGCACTAGAACGTCCCCCGGCCCCCTTGTCTCTTTTCGCGTGTGCCTGGGACCCGGGTTTGCGAGCCTTGGGCCCTTGTTCGTTTTGGCTACCTAGGTGCAGTAGTGTTGGTAGTCTAACGGTTTCCCCAGCTTTCCTCGGTTTGGCGTGCGATAATTGCTCCATGGGCTGCCAGTACATACATCAAGCACCGGCTCGTCTTTGTGACTTCCCGTGATGCCGCAATCGAGCACTATCAACAACTGAAGCCATACACAACCTCTCTATCCCCCTCCATCTCCATCTCCACCAAACACCTCCCCTCCCCCATAGCATGTCCATCAGCAACTGCCCATCTCCCACTCTGCCACCATTTATGCATACCAAATCAACCTTCAGGTCTCCCTTCCCTCCAATCTACCTTAGTCAACAACCAGCCTAGTCCTGCCCAGCCCTCCTAAGTACTAGTAGATGATGTTCGCTTCCGCTTTAGCCCACGGAGCTCATGGCCGCTTCCGGCATCAGATGCTTCCCCCCTTCCCTCCGCGTCTCCGCCCCGGCAGCAGGCCGTTGAGACCGCCACAATTTTTGTTCGTTTCTTTTCCGCCCAGCCGTCTCTTATGTATGTATGTACATACTACATATCAATTCCTTCTTCATCTTATCTCCGCATTAAGCTACAGAGTAGCAGTACATGCCAGCAAAGGAGCAATCTAATACTCATCCATGCATTGTTCAACATTCGCCTCGCCACCTCTGACCAACTATTACTTCTTCCAATGGCTAGCATCACCTCCTCCTAGTATAAGCACCCGCTGCAAAGCTGCAGCTGCAGCATCCGGTTCCTGCATGCAATGCAGTAATGGAAACCCAAACCCCCCCCCCCCCGGAAAAGCCAGGAGAAAGCGCATGCAAAAGCCGTCACTTGACATCCAACCACCCTCTACCAAAAGGCAATCACCGACCATCACCGTCACCACACGGGAAAAAAGGAAAAGCCACGCCAAAACCAGCTCCTCTAACACGAAACGAAACGAGCCTCCCTCCCCCCTGAAAAACCTCCGCACTTTTCCGCATCACCAAGTCACTCACCCATCATCAATCACCCACTCACTTATCACCTCAAACAAAAAAAAAATCGAGATAAGAAAAAAAGAAGCAAAAGAAGCAAGATACCAAGCTTTTCATCCCCTCCCATCTCGTTTCAAAAATCCACCCTCACATTTCGTTCCCAGACCCACACGAACTTACATGGTTTTTTCCATCACTTTTTTTTTTTTCTTGTCATTCATCACAAACTCGCTTAGTATTAGAGAGAGCAACCCCCCCTGGTTCAATAGATGCTCTGCAAGCAAGGCAGGTCTTTCCCTTGCTTCCCCGGTTTCTGCATTAATTTAATACTATTTACCTTGTTCTTGTCCGAACTTATCGGACAGGATCCGGTCCAATCGCTTCAGCAGGACAAGAAACTCGGGAGTTGACATGTATACCTTGATACGATGTATGTCACTCTGTGAACTGCTCTCAGATGCATCGTCTTGCGAGTAAACAAATGCACAGAAACTCCAGATACTTCTACCCAAGCACTTCACAAAACACAATATTCATCTACTATATCAATTGGCCACCAATCCACGAAACCGCCAGTGCGGCCTCCCATCAACTCACCTCCGTACCCCATCTCCCATCTCATCAAGTAATAACACCTGTCAGAACAAAACGAAACAAAACACACACACAAGAGAACAAGCCAGAGTGACAACCATCACGAACAAAACACACAAAGATCCAGCTAGGCAAAACCCGCGCCATGTATGTATCTCCCACCACCTGCGGCCGATGATAACACCTTTATCGGCCGACTAAAACCCACGATGCGATACGAACAGCCGCTGCAACATTAGTCATGACACGAGATTCATCACACTCCGGATTGGGTTACAAGCTTGTTTCGATTTGATTTGACGGGACCGGTACGGCTTCGTACTTCGTACTTTGTCACAAACGAGGTTTTAGACGCAGCAAATCACTTGCAGCAGTAGTTGATGCTGATACCGAGGAAGTATTAATGCTTGTAGCCAAGGTTCTAGTCCTCAGCTTTGCACTCTGTAAGGTATGTAATATACATTTTTTCCTACCTACATCCCGCACTAAGATACAAACATCGTACACCTCAGCCTTTCTGATTTCCGCATCCGCCCGCTAACCGTCTCGCTCCCCCATGCCCATGTCCATGCCTCGACTGTTTCAGTGCCTTGGACGTGAGTCTGTCTAGACATGCAAAGACGTGAATCAAGCTCGTCCCCGCCAGGCTGCCTCCAGTGCCTTCGGATGTCCCTGCATCCGTTATGAGAAGAAACAGGAAATACAAAAAAATAAAACAAAGGAGAAAGATCAACATGTGTAGAAACGGGCTAGCCTTTCAGACATACGAGCACTGGCAATGTATATCGAGTGCTTCCATGCATGATGTATGTAATAGAACCTGTGGCGCACGCCCGGCTGGCCGGTCACTGTGGCATAATAGTGTTTTTCAACCCCGTAAGAAATAGACATTAAACAGAAACATTTATGCAGTGCCTGAACATGGCGTGTATGTAGTAACCGAGCGGCTGATGCAAGATCCGAAAATGAAAAGGCAAAAGATGATTTGTGACCGGGTATCAATAAGGCCTGGGCTGTGTGGCCAGGATGCTTCTATGCAAAGGAGTGACGAGAAGAAGATCGTAGACGTGACGCAACGCCTCTAAATGAGTGAGATGGTTCAGATGAAAAAGGAACCAGATGGTCAAGGTAAGACAAAGAGAGAAGAAATGTGATAGGGAAAAAGAAAAAGAAACGACGAGGAGAAGGGAGACTGGGTTCATTTCGGCTTAAAGACGGCACTGGTGAGGAACACTTCACCATCCTTTGGCACATCCTTGAGAGGAGGTACAGGAGCAGGTGGCGAAGGGGGCTGACTGTTGGGAGTGGCCGGACGGTAAAAGGTACTCTTCAGCATCAGCGGCGGCGCGGCAAGGGTGGGCGAGTCGGGTTGGGCGCTGAGCCTCAGGTTGCTCCTCGACTGCTTCTGCCCGACTTGTAGGAAATCGGTGTGCTTCCTGTCGGGAGCGGGCAAGGCAATGGGCTCGGGAGTGGCGCCGAACTCTGGGGCGGTGGTGGACTCGGGACTGCTGCTAGACTCGGGAGTGACATTGTTCATCCGGATGATCTCGTCCTCGACGTCCGTCAGCAGGGCGAAGAGCTCATCACCGGCATAGATACGGATGCTCTCTCCGTCAGAGCTCTTCATCGTTGGCGTTCGTGTCAGTTCAGTCTTGCTTTGCGCTTCCACCGGCTCGGCGGGGAGCTCCAGGATCATGCTGGGCACCTGGGCCACAACGCGCAGCGGCGGTGGTGAAGCGCTCACGGGGCGGCTGCTGGACGCCGGCCTGTCGGGGCTTCGGGGCGGCGTGGCGATGTCCTGCACAGTTCGGGCTTGCATCGGTGAGGCTGGCCGTAACGGCGTAGATGGTGGCCGTGCCGTTGGTTGCACGGGCGAGGGTGTCTCTCCCCCAACATTGAGTATCGCGGCCGCGGCGATGTGTTCAAGCAGCTTCTGCCGAACGCGGGTGCGTCTGTTCTCGGCCCGCTCGAGCTTAATCACCCAGCCATCAATCGAGGCATCGAGCTCTGCCAGCGCCTCCTCCTGTCGAAGCATCGAGTCGGCGCTCAACCGGGATCCCCGCATCGGTGACCGGAGATACTGGCAGATGCGAGAGTGAAAGTTGCGACGGCCGTTCCTCAGGGAGTTGTAGGTGCGGCGGAGATACTCGACCCGTTCGTCCAGCTTACGGAGCTCTTTAGACAGGCGTTCGACATCATCCACCTGAAGAACCTCGAACCGCTCGGCCTGACCAAGAGCCTGTTGGCGAAGAATGCCCAGGTCGTTGGCGCTCATCTGGCTCACGGCTTGCAGCGGTCTGCAGCCAGAAGGAAGCTCTTCGAACGCGCGCTGCTCCGCACTCTTGGATCGCTTCTTCTCACCGCTGCTCGTGTGTGGGACGGTCGGGTGAGAGTTGCTCTTCTTGTGCTGCTCGCTTCGCTTCTTTGTCCGACCTCTGTGTTGGGCACTCTGAGAGTCCGAGGCAAAGCGCCTGTGGCTAGATGAGCCTTCATCAGGTTGGGTAGCGCTCAGTGGCGTACGGGAGGAGGGCTGCTCCCACTGCTTGGCGGTGGCAGATTTGGCGTCCGATGTCGAGGCCGAGATGGGGGTCGGCAGCGTCGTGGCCGAGTTGAAAACTACGCTCCCGGAGCTGGCAGGACGACTCGCATCCGAGCTGCTGATAGGGGTCAGGTATTGGATGGGAATGGAGTCATTTCCCAGCAGCGGTGCACTATCGGTCCGCAGAAGCATCGGCGGAGGGGACGGTTGCTGAACATCATGCAAGAAGGTAAGCTGCTGTGGCTCGGGAATGACAAGGGGTGCCAGCCGCTTTGGTGAGGGCAGACGAGGAGGCTGAGAGCCCACGGGTCGCCTCTGCGCATCAGTCTGCTTGGGAGGTGTGTACGTCGCTTTACCGAGTTTGTATGGGCCAGCTCGGTCTCTTGCTGATTCGTCCTGGGAGGCACTGCCAGCACGCTCTCGCAACGCCGGTAGACCAGGTATTGTCGCTATGCAGCCGAGTTAGCACTAGAGCATGAGAGTGTTCAATGGATATGGAGCCTTACGAGAGTCCATGGCCACCTCCTGGACCGTCGTCATGGGGCCCAGGTCCGGGATGTTGTTGGCCTTTCGACGCCGGACAATGGGCTGTTGGTTCAGCTTGATCTTCAGTGCCGGGATCGCGCCCAGCTTCTCCGTGTTCTTGTTGCTGTTCAAGGCGAGGGCAAACGCGGTATCAGGATCCACCGATGAGTGGTTGCTCGGACTGGGTGACTGCCTCCCCTTGGGAAAGAGCTGGTATTTCCCTTGCCCCTCCTGCGGCGTCTTCTTCGAGCTCGACTTTTCGTTCTCGGGCAGGGCCGCCGGCGGCGCTGACTGAAGAGCAGAAGCGAGTTAGCCACGTTGAGCTTCGTACATGTATAAGTCAAGTGACGTGCTTACGGAAAGCATTGAAAAGGCTGAAGCCAAAGTCTTCGACATTGTGTTCTGTTCGACCCCGTTCATGCAGGCTGCAATGTGGTTCATTACACTGGGGAAATCAGTAAGGGGGGTAGTCTCTCAAAGGTCACCGTGCGTAGAGGGAAGACACAGTCATCCAGCTCCGGGTGAGATCGAGGTGTAAGTGGTATGCCTCAGACAAGCGTGCTACACAATCGACATCCTCAGCGGTTCTTTTCTCCCGTCCAGTCAAGGAGGAGAGCAAGGCAGCTTAGAAGCCGGCGAGGAGGGTATACTTGTATATCTGCGCCTCTCGGCAAGACGGAGCCTGGAGGACAAGAACGCATTGGAACTCCAGACGAGAGCCCTGTCAGTAGGCTAGCGTGGAGAAACATGGGATGTCCACCCTGTCTCCTCTTCGCTTGCACCCGGCCTGCGAAGGGGGAATCCACCAGCAGGAGACAGGCCTGGACAGCGGGTATCCAGGACTAGGTATGAAGCTCTAGCTGGGGCTGGGGGTGAGGTTTCCGAGTCTCTCTCTGTCTGTCTGTCTGTCTGTGACACGGGTGCATTGGGTGGCTGTACAGACACCCAGGGTCAAGAGCTAGGCCCGTGTTAGAGTCGAGCAGGCTCCGGCCGAGGGCGTCCAAAGCGGCATAGAGTGGTTGAACCCCTGGCAGCAGGAGGAGCATGGCAGCAAGGAGTCAAACGCTAGGCCCCTGGACAAGACTCGACCCGTTCTTCAGGTCGAGGCGTCTTCCCCACCCGCTCCAGGATATCCTTGCCTGCCATGATGCTTGCCCGCACCAATCCGATCTGTCGGGCGATTGCGTTTTAGCACTGGTGTTCGGGGGGTTGCTGGAGCGAGAGAGAGGAGGCTGCTCGATGATTCATCGAGAAGCGAGGAGGCAAAAAATAGGGAAAAAATTATAATAAAAAATAGACGAGGCCCTGTCGGTTGACGGTGATGGGGTCCATCTAGTGTCCGGTGGGGGTTGGTTTGGTTTCAGGCGCCAGTGCTCGTGCTGCTTCTTCAATCTTGTTAGCAGTATGAGTACATACGGCATCGCGCTGCTTTTCATTCTGCTTTTTCTGTCATCCTGCTGCAAAGTGTTGGGTTTTGCTGTGTTTTGTCTTGTTTCGCCTCCGTTTGTAGGTGCAATCCGGAGCAAACATCGACGCCCCAGCAGCGAGATGCACAGGCGGAGGCGAAGCCAATCTCTTCGACACCAATCGACATGAGTGAAATTGTACTGCTCACTGGATTGTATCGATGCCTTACCAATGACTGTACGCTCCGGCATAATCAGGCAGAATGATTCCACGAGAGACGGAAGCCTCGCAGACGGAGATCCAGAATCGAGCTTCACGCCTGAAAGCCAAGGCGGCAACAACTCGACGTACCGGTGCAATTGCAACCTCACAAGCAAGGCTCCAGCGCCGCACGTGTGTGCGAGCCCCTGGACATTGATTGTTCCGGTCAGGCACGGAGTACTGTACATGCAGCCTCTGCACCGTGATAAGGCGCAGCAGCTCTCCAGCTCTAGCTCGACCTCGGGTTGTCTACGACCTTCCCAACTCTGTATAGGTAGGTAGCAAGGAACTCCGTGCGAAGACGAGGGCAACTTCGTCACAAATGATAAGCTCCTTGCTCAGTCTTTTTACGCTCTCGAATACCTTACAAGTAGTCTCCACTCCTCTTTGCTCAGTTGTCAATTCAAGATGTTGCCGACCTCAGCCTTCTCGTACAGACTTGAAGCCTTCTTGTTTGAGGGGGCGATGGATTCTGCATTTGCCCTTTTCGCCTTTTACCCTCTTTTTTCTCTTCTGTTTCGGGCTTTCAGTAAGCGTAAGATGGACCGAAATATTTCCCTTTACAGGAGCCAAGGCAGCGAGTGCCTGCATATGCATGCATTTATGACAGCATCATGGTGATCCTTCCAGCACTCAGTCCGTTTCCGCTCTGCCTCGCAAATGGGGGCTGCCGTGAGGCTGAAAAGCGATGGTAGTTTACCCTTTTAGCCCCAAGGAAGAGGCTTCATTATAGTTCATGTCAGGTACAGATACCCAATCGTTTCTTGTTTGGTCTCTGTAACGGTTTCACGGTTTCCTACCGTCTTTACGCCCTTGCATGTAGGTGGGTTACCCTATTCTGCTCTGACTGTATATAGAGTTTACAACCTCATTACCCTCTTATGCAATCCTTCGAATCTATAATTATACTGTGACCTAGGCTCCTTGCAAATACCTAAGGTACCTTGCCCCTTCAGCCCACATTTGATCACGATGACCAAATCTGAAGACGAAACTTCTTTGTAATTCAAAATGGGTGTATATTTCCTTCTCTATGGAATCTGCACTTCGACGTAGGTATCTCTGCGGATCATCGGACCATTGCGTCGCCTTGATGCACGGCACGTCCGATGGCGCACAGGTGATTGACACCGATGCCTGTGAAAATCCGCTCAGAAGGTAATCTCACAGGAAGAGCATGACAGTTTTGTGGAGGTGAGCTTGGCGATACTTGGCGATTTCGCTCTGCCCCTGCTGTGTAAATCCTTCGTGATGCAATGTTCAAGGGTGTTAGTGCTGGACCATACAGGTAGCTCACGGGCACAACAACAACAGCTCATGCCTACATACTAGCTAAAAAAAGAAGCAATAAAACAACGGATAGCACGTTTCAAGGACACAATTCCTTCTCGTAATTACCGGAAAGGCAAGTAAAAGTTATGGTGCCGCTGGTGCTTCCAGAAGCCTGCGTCGACTCTCCCAGCATCGGTGATGGGGAGCTACCCCCTTGTGATCAACTTACAAACATCTTGATCCTACACACCCTCCCCAAAACGCAACTCGATGCACGACACGGATCTTCGATTGATCAACAGAGCATAGCTACGAAGCTTGTTGCCCGCATTGCGTCGGTCCGGAGGTAGATCTGATACGACATCTTGTCGTGCACGCACATCGCTGCACACCCACAGCTCACCATGGTAAATCTTGACGCATCGGACATTGTTGGAGCTTCATTTTCTTCTTTTCTATTACTATCTTCAGATCTCAATCACACCTCCGGCACTGCACAGACTCATGTGCCCTGTAACCATGCGTCAAAGCCAAGGCCCATCTTCTCCGCTTTATCGTTGTCAATGCGCAGAAATCGATACAGCAAGGGGTCGAGCATTACTGGGCCAATTCCCCCACTGGAGGGGAGAGAGAAAGGTGAGTAAAAAGTGCCCACCGCATTATCGTCACTCTCCGGTCTGCCCTATATGTACGTAATTCAGCCCGGATGGCTGCTCTTCCGTAGTAAAAGGGCCCTCTCGGAAATCACCGACAGCTAACCGAATGATTACGGCGTTTATGCATCACGCAAAACCTTATCTCGTGATGCTCCTTATAGGAAGGTTAAACTTCTGAGATCCTAGTGCTTCCTCTCAACTACCCTACCTATAATAACAACTTATTCGAACAGTGCAGCAATGTTCTAGACGATCTCAGCTTGCCCAAGGCCATGGCCCTCGCAGGTGTGGTTGCGTCCCATCTGTGCGCCGGTCTGGTGTATACCGATTGGATACAGTTGAGAGTTCCAGTTTTGTTTCACCCCCCTGGACCGACTGCTCCTGTTCAGATACTTGGACTTGTACAACTGTTTGCGGGGAAACAGAATCCAGACACAGAAATGCCATTACTAGCAGCTGCTAAACAGCCAATTCAACAATTTGTTTCCCTCTCTGCCAAGGAGCAGGAAGAGAATGATTGGCGTCCTCATCAGTGGGTTGAGCCTAGCAAAGACGTCGGGTTTTGATAGCTTCGAATTGGTGATTCGCAGATCCACCAAACGGACTCGATGGACGGCCCCACTTCATCGCCGATTGTTGGTGGAGGTTTCTGGCTTTTCTTTGTTTTACACGCCGCTAAACTCAACCTCCTTCAAGCCACAGGAGTGAAAGTAGCCTTGGCTTCACTGGTGAAGCCAAAACGGCTTCTCATCAATCAGGTGGACTTTCATCTGTAGGAACACGGCTCGTCGGCCTACACCTGTTACAGCGGCAATGCCGTCTTCTGCTGAAAGTAGACACACTGGTCCATGTCTATCCAGGTATCATCAAGGAGCATCTTGGGGCTGATGAGCCTCAAATCCTTTGTTTCGTTTGATTTTTTATTTCCCACCCTCCGCACTAACTTCAGCGGCGTCTCTCTCTCAGGTCGCCAGAGAAACTTGCGAGTTTGAGATGGCTGATACCACGGCGTTTCAGAAACTTGGGTCAAAACGCGGTGCGTCCGTTGCGTGTCGCCTACATGATTCCGAGCTCTACCAGCGCCTTGACCTTCAGAAAACGGTTCAAGGATGTCTATCTGCCGTGTTGTATCCACCGGGTGCTTGTTTGTTTCGAGATTCCGAAATTGGTGCGTGTGGGAGACGGTGAGTGAGAGAGGGTGGTTGTATCGGCCTGGAAACGGCATCTTGATTACGGAACAAAAGAGACGTGTTTCTGTGGGATGGCAGGGTATTTTCCTGACAGGCAGTATGGCACGTGGTGTATTGTCCGGTCTTCCATCATGAATGTCAACATGTGAGGGTGTCTGTATATGCAACAGTCCGAATTATTATGTGCCAAGTTGTCACAATCCGTCGCCTCTCTCAACCCTAAAGACACATGATATACACCTAAAGTCTGTAACCATGGCCAGGAGTCGACAATGATGGTTCTGAGGGACATTCGCACCAGGCTAAAGCAACCCTCTCTTTCTGTTTGCACCTCCGTGTACCATCCTCTGCACCATGTCCACCGAGTGGCCACCAATGATCCGTTGGATCATAGAACTAGAAGAGGAATTGGAGAAGAGGAGGAGACCCGTATTGACACTGTTTCGTCAACCTTTTCCATGGCCCCATCACTGGTGCCCTTCAAGCGAAGCCGGTTGGTCAATTCCTCTATCGCTGGAAAAGAGGAGAAGGGGACAGAGCGGGAGATACAAGTACGAGCACCACGGAATCGCTTACATGTGAGGTACTCTGTTGACAGTGGCTATAGGTA